ATCAGTGTCACTTTGTGTGCATGGGCTGAAATGCACAGTGTCTGAGTCAGGATGGGCACAAGTAAGTCACGGCTGGTATGAGGTTGCGCAGGGTGTGTTGGGGTGGTGCTGCAGGAGCAAAGCCTAAAGCATGTGAGGTCCATGTCAGTAGGATCATGAGAATGTTGTTCCTGGGTCCAAGCCAGGCCTGAGAGGTCACTGAAGGACAACATACTCTGGTAGTATGAGCACTGGAACACAGCACCACTGGATGTCTTCATATACTGGCACTGCTAATTGTCATTGCAGCTGGAATAAGCAAAAGTAAAACATAGTACATACCCAAGGAGTTTCTTTTTCCTTCAATGTCCCTCTGGTGTCCTGTACTGGCAAATTGTATCTTCACCCTCATTGTAATAGAGAAAATGCTTAGAGTTTAATCCATTATTGCAGAGTGGGTAGTGAATAATGAATTAGGACCTGAGAGGCAACAAATGCATAACTTGCATATGACCATCTAAAAGTGAAGGGAAAAGCCTAAGTTGGCTTATGGATGGCTTAACCTGGTCTTCTGGTTATGGAAACAAGGAGGTCTGGGTAGAGGCATATGGATGGAAATACAGGAGTGGGCACAAGTATGAAGATTTCTGTGTCGTATGCTAATACCCACTAGAAAACCCCTCCACTGGAAAGGCAGAAATTGACTAAGTAGACAAAATGACTTGGTCAGTTGACGTTAGTCAACCATTATTGTTGGCTTCCCCAGGAGTATCATGACGCGCATGTAAATGGCATGGTCATGGTTGCTATGTATAGGCCTAATCACATGAACTTCTACTTATTGGAGCTAATCTAGTTACTTCTGCCTCTGAATGTCTAAACTGTCAGAGGCAGAGACTACTGTTGAGCTCCAATATAGCACTAATATATATATTTACATATATTTTTCTTTTAAGAAAAGCAACTGTCACTTGATGGTAAGTTGGTCATATCATAACTGCTTCCATTCTAAAAGGGCCAGAGTTTTGTTCTGTTAGGAAGAGATACCTATTCAGTTATTGGTTTGAATTTCCTACCTGCAGAGCCTTAGGTGGCACTATTATATATGGGATTACTGATACGATTAGTAATATAATGGGATCTATAGTCATAGAATCCCACATAGCACCTGAGCAGGGGACCCACTTTACAATGAAGAAGGTATGGGAGTGAGCCCATGACCATGAAATCCGCTGATTGTTTCTCATAATACACCTCCTAGTCTCATAGAACTCTTGAATAGCTTTCTAAGAGGTGAAAGTGAAGCATCAGTTTGAAGGAGGTATTTTAAAACAATGGAATGATATCTGTGATGGTTCATTTTATAAGTCGACTTGACTGAACTAGAGGCCAAGTTAGGTGGTAAAACATTATTTCTAGGTATACCTGTGCATGTATTTCTAGAAGAGACCAGCATTTGAATTGGTGAACTGAGTAAAGCAGATGGTCCTTCCCAAGCTTGGTGGGCATCATCCTGTCTGTTGAGGGTCTGAATAGAAAAAAATGGTGGAGGAAAGGCAATTCACTCTCTGCTTGAACTGAGACATCCATCTTCTCTTGCCTTTGGACATAGGTGCTCCTGATTCTTGGGCTTTCAGACTGAGATTGAGGGCTTACTTCATCAGCACCAGAGTTTCACACCTTTAGTCTCAGACTGATTACACCACCAGCTGTCCTGGTCTCCAGCTTGCATATGGCTGATCATGGGACTTCTTGGCCTTCATAAGCATGTGAGCACATTCCTAAAATAAATCTCTTACCTATCATCTCTCTATCCACCTATTCATCCATACGTCTATCATTTATTTCCTATTGGTTCTGCTTCTCTGGAGAACCCCAACTAATACAACATCCTTAGGATACAGTATACTTATTAATTCAGATATCCCTAAAGTGTCACTAATAGGAAGGACTCATAGGTCCGAGAATATAGGGAGGGAAGTAGAAGTGGTCACACTCACTTTTGAGCCACCACTACAGGCCCTGGTTTCACATAGTATTTCTTCAATAACGTTCTACTTTTCCACTATATTCACTACCAACTATTTATGCAGAAACCAGGGCAAAAACACACTTTTATGCCTATAAATCTCAAACTGTCTTTTCATTGGTATCTTTTTCCTCCTTGTTTCAAATATGTATATGCCTTTTGTGTCCATAACAATGGTCTCATTTATCATCCATTGAAAGTTGTTGGGAAATTGCTATAGCATATGTCATGGCAGTGTTCTACACTGTAACTCTCATACTGTTTATCTCAAATTATGTTTTTTCCCCTTGCTGTGCATTTCAGCCATATTTTACTGTTTTACTTCCATAAAGGGAAGAACGTGCGTCAAGCTTGTGAAATGTTGCATAAAGTGTATGGTGACAACGGTCTACAAGAACATCAATGCCAACGATGGTTCACAAAATTCTGTGCTAGTGATTTTTATCTCAATGACGCTCCTCGGTCAGGGAGGCCCACCAAGGTTGATGACGACAAAATAAAGACATTGATAGAGTCAAACCCACATTACACAACATGAGGGATTGCAGAAACATTGAACAGCCATCATTCAAGCATTCACACCCATCTGAAGAAGCTGGGATATGTAAGCAAGCTCGATATTTGGGTTCTGCATGAACTCAAAGTTCATTTGATGGTGCATATAAACATCTGCGAAATGCTCATTAAATATGAGGAAAACAATCCTTTTTTAAAGTGACTGATAACTGGTGATGAGAAGTGGATGGTTGACAACAATGTGGTGTGCAAATGGTCTTGGTCCCAACGTGATGATTCGCCTCAAACGACATCGAAAGCAGACATTCATCAGAGGAAGGTTATGCTCTCAGTGTGGTGGGATTTTAAAGGAGTTGTGTTTTTCAAGCTCCAACCAAGGAACCAAACAATCAATTCGAACGTGTACTATCAGCATTTGGACAGTTTGAATGAGTCCATCATCCAGAAATGTCCAGAACTTGTTAATTGTAAAGGAGTTGTATTTCATCACAACAATGGGAGACCACACACTAGTTTGATTACCCGTCAGGAATGATTGGAGCTTGGATGGGATGTGTTGCCACACCCAACATACTTGCCTGATCTTTCACCATCAGACTTCCACTTGTTTTGCTCTGTTCAAAACTCCTTACATGGTATAACGTTCAATTCAGATGAGGCTGTAAATGAGCACCTTGTTCAGTTTTTCACAAATGAAGACAGGTCCTTCTATGAACGAGGAATTATGAAGCTCACTGATAGATGGCAAAACGTTTTTGAACAAAATGGACAATATACCATTGATTGATCTTTGTTCTTTATATAAATAAATGACCTTTGAAAAACATAGACAAAATACACATGACTTTTCCGAAGACCCAATATTTGGACACAGGGATAGTGTCATACATATTTTGATAGCAGCCTAGTCCTAGGCTTGTAGTAAGCATGTAAAAATTGTTGAAATGAATACAGATGGTTTGAATGCCTATAAGTCATGCATGTTAAAGACTGAGCAGTTATTACCAATTGTTCAAATACAGTAATGAATTTAAATAATAAATATATATTTCACCTTTGTTTACTTGACTGAACAACAGATATTTTTATTAGAAACATGAACAACCTTTTAGTACTTATCATGTCTTCAGTGGACATATAGTGGACTTCAAAATTTGATCAGGTTTTAGACTATCAGGGAAGCATTTCATTTTAAGAGCAGCATAATTAACCCTGATATAATTTGCAAAAAAGATAATATGACATTTTATAGTATATAGAAGTATTCAAATAAATTAAACACATGTGATATACAACATGCATCACAACAAAACTGAATAATTAGGCTATAAACATGTTAGTGAAATAATGTATGCAGAATTGGCTATTTTGAAGTTAAATTTTCTTCTGTTATCATTTGGTACTTGTACAAATATTTTTGGGTAAACACTAATATGTTTTAGGAAAAATATAAAAAAATAGTTTTTTTAAAAAGTCTAAACTTATCCATTTTTCTATTTTGATTCCTTTTACAAGTTGGGAAAACACAATCATTTAAATTTGTGCATAAATATTGCGCATAAGGAATGCAAGTAGAAGTATTCCATTGAAGGGCAACTTAAGAAATGTCTTGCAAAACTGTGTTTGCAAAATTAAAATTACGCAAGTCACCAAACTGCATAGTAAGCTATCAAATGAAAGCTCTTTCCAAGTTAATTCTATTGTCTTTCCACGTGTTAAGCCCACACTGATGGGGAAAAAAAGTTGATATTTAACTTTTATTTGGTCTCCTTAGCCACAGATTTTCCTAAGAAGCCAAATTATACACAAGGAATAAATAAATAATGGGAAAATAAAGTTGTTTTTACAGGATCATTTTGTACTTGGGATTATTTTTCTGCCTGATACTTAAATGATACTCCATACTGGGGGATTAAAACAAACACATACACAAATTTCATATTTAGTTATTTTATTCAATTTCTTTAAACCAGAGAATTTTCTAAGAAACAAACTTATCAGCAATTGAAGAACTGATTTACATTTTTAAAACACTATCTCTTTATGTGTGTGAATGTATGTGTATTTGTTTTGACCTGAGACTTAAGTAAAAATCCGACAATAGATATGATTAAAATAGGCAATTGTCTGTTACTAAACATGTTGTAAATTTCAATCTTCTTTTTCCTTCACTACAGTAATTCAGCCATTATATCCAAAAGCTATGACGTGGACCCTTCATATAGCCAAGAACTTCACCGGCAGATGGCCTGCTTCCAGAGGAGAAAGTACGCTTTCTAATCCCTACGTGACACCTGAAGGTCTTTAAGGTGTCAAATTGGGGAAAATACGTAAAACGTTTGGGCAGGAGACAGGCTTCTGAGGGCAGCAGGCGGGGGTAGGCGGGGCCCAGCAACAGCACGCTCCAGCTCCACCGGAGCCCTTTTGCTCCCGCTGCCCGGCACCTGGCCAAGCGCCGGTTCCCAGCGCTCGCGAGCTGCTTGCTGCCTTTCCTCCGCCAACTGCCATCACTGTGGGGAGGCCCACCGGTCACGCAATGTTTTCTCTCTTGCTGATCCTCTCAGGCCTGGGCTGGCTGACCTCCGCAGGTCATGGTAAGTGGAGGACTTCCACCTCCCGAGGGCAGCTTGGCAAAGTGCCGCTGGGCCTGGCAAGCAAAGCCCTCCTTGCTCCAGAACCCTGGGCAGGGCTGGAGAGAGCCCAGAGTCCTGTCAGAGCCTACCTAGTTTCAGGGTCCTGCTGGGCCTGGTGGTTGGACGGCTCATAACAGGTCTGGGACAACTTTCCCTCACTTACCTGACCCTGCACTGGCAGGAGAGGCCGCCCTTCTTCTGGGGAGATGGGGAAGGAGAGAGCCTGGATGGGGTCCTGAGACCAGCACTTCTTTAGGCAGAGCTGAGGTCAGCAAGTCAGAAGTGTCTGGTAAGTGGTAGAGTAATATTACCACGTCTACAGGAACCTCTTCCTAGAATCCTACAGCATATGATTTTGTGGTGTGTGTGTGTGTGTGTGTGTGTGTGTGTGTGTGTGTGTGTGTGTGTGTGTGTGTGCGCGCGCGCGCGCACCTTGAAAGTTCAAAGAGTGATGTAATTGGAATGGACAAGTATGTGAAGAATAAGGATGCTCTATGTTTTTCTTACTGCAGACTCTGAAACATCACTTATGCAAACTACAGTGCCACGGAAGATTAGAACCAACATCGACGATGGCGATGTTTCAGAAAAGCATGTAATTAAGAAATCATTTTTTTTTAAATGAGTGTTTTATTTTTGCTGGACTACATGACCCAAATCAATTCATTTCGAAATTTTTGAAATTTTGTGTTCTAATTACTGTGTTAGAGAGCCATTATTTTTGAAGGAGAGCAAATGTTTTGATTTTTTTTTCATTTTCCATGTGATATATGAACATTATGAAACTATAAAGACACACAATGATCTGATAGGAATCCAAGGATTGGAATCTCAGTAGCAGGGTCTGAGAGGAGCATTGAATTGCCAACTGGAAAACAATTACACTCCGAGGCAGATTTTATAGATTGAATGGTCCGACTGTCTCTCTTTAATGGCACCCAAAAAACTCCAGTGATTATTTGTTTATAAAAGCTCTTACACCAAAAACAAATGACCAGAGAGGTTAAAATGTTTAGGAGAGTATAACATATACTGGGAAAATGCTAACAAAAAGAAAACATGTGTATCCATGATAACAGCAGAAATAAAATAAAAGCTGTTAGTACACAAACAGGAACTTAATAAACACACATGCTCATTATGAGGGATAAGCATTATTACTTAAAATATTCACTTTACTAGGAACATATAACAATTCTAAATTTGTATGAATTCAATAAAATGCCCTTAGCATGTATAAAATATTGGGTTGTTAGAAAAGTCGTGACATATTTTTTTCTCTGTTTTTTGTTGCAAAAATGTGTCATGACTTTTCCGACAACCCAATAAAAACTGATAGCACTAGAGGGAGAAATTTTCAAATCCATTTCATAGTGAGATTTTAAAATGTTTTTGTCAAATGTCAGTTGACAAATCATAAAAATATAAAGACAATTTGAACAACAAAGAAAACCTTTTTATTTGATGGATATAATTTATAGAAGTGACCCCATGGAGTGAATGTATTGTTTTCCCCTTTCTGCTAGTTGTTAGGACTCACTAGACCTCACAGGGTATCACACATGAGGCTTTCCTTTAATGGCAAAGCATATGGTGCAGCAAGAGAAAGAGAGTTTAGGTAAATATGAGGATCCAAAAACATCCACAGTGAGCAACCCATGAGCCCAGTCTCTGCTCCTGGAACATGCTGAGTCTCTGGCTTGAAAAAATAAGACCTATGGGAGGAATTTGGCCTTGGGAGAACTCCTTACAAAGCTTGTAGTGACTAGCCAAGCCAGCCTTATCAAAGGAGGTAGGGAAACACCAGGGAAGCTAACCTTGGCCAGGGGACTTTTGAACCCTAAACAGTACATTATAAATCTCACTGCCCTTACCTTAACTAAGAGTCAGAAACGTTCAGGCTTGTAGGCATTACCAGAAATAAAGACAAGAGCTTTTCTAATCCAGCTGTAAATCAGCTCTGTCTCCATAGTAAATAGTGTGCATTCTTCTCAAGAATATACAGATCATTCAGCAAAATTGACAACAGTGTTAAAAAAACTAAAAATCAAACACCAATAGTACAGAGCTCATATGGCAACAATTTAAAACTTAACAGGCTGGCCGAGTGGCTCAGTTGGTTAAGAGCTCGCTCAAGAGTTTGAGCTCTGAGCAACAATGGTTCGAGTCCCTGCCTGAGCTGAGCAGCCGCTGAGCTGCCAACTGGTGGCAGGATGGCTCAGCTAAAAAAAAAAAAAAAAAAAAAAGATAAAACTTAACAAAAAGACTGAAAAATGTATTTGGTAATATAAAAATACACTTGTATATAATTCATGGGTTGAAGGAGAAAGCATAAATTATAATGGATATTAAATAAATAATGGACAAGAGTGAAAAAATTACAAACCAAAATTGGAGTCATGGTCTTAAGATGCTATAGGGGCATAATTTATAACAGCAAAAACCTAAATAAGCAAAAACACTTTGAAAATTAGAAGGTAAAAAATAATTATAACCTTAAAATTTTTAAAGATAATACTAAAATTAAGAATTAATGAAAAAGAATATTAAGCTAAAATAGCCTAGATTCATAATGTCAAAAGTTGATTTATGCAAAAATACATAATACAGATATTTTGGTGAGATAGATTTAGGAAAATGGAAAGGAGAAGGAAAAATATGAATATTAGAAATCTACAAAGGAGCAAATAAAAATATCAAAAATTTATGCTTATAAATGTTAATTAAACAATATATTTTTATCCATAAAAATAATGCTGACCTAAGATGACATAAAACAACACTGGATACCCTTTTTCTATTAAGAAGCTGAAATATTGTTTAAGTCATATGACTGCCCCCTCCTAAAACAGGCTATACCGAGTCTTTAAAAAATGTATATAATTATATCAAAATACACAAATCTGAAAAATTTTTTGTACATCTAAACTCCTGTGTACTCTGACCCAGATCAGACAGTTCCCTTGTGCCTTTTTCAGACATTACCACTAACTTCACTATTTTGTTGTCTTGAAATTCACGTGAGAGGGATCAGCCAGTAATACTTTATTTGTGTGTGTGTCCCTGATTTCTTTGATTCAGTATTCTATTGTTGAGATTTGTCTATGTAGATTCATATATGCTTTAATTCATAAATTTTATAGCTTCATAGTGTGCTAAAAATTAAAACATTAACCTGTTAGTGGACGTTGTTTTCAATTGGTAATGATTATGAATAAATCTGCTCTAAAGAAAGTATTATGTTGATATATGCTTTCCTGTGCATATTTCTAGGGGTGAAATGCTGATTTATAGAGTAAGTGCACATTTGAATTTTATAGAAATCTGGTAAATAGTTTACTTAAATGATTATAGATTTTGCATTTCCACTAGCAATATATGAGTTTCATTTGTGCCATATCTTCACTAACACTTAGCAATCTCAGTCTTTTGTTGTTTGCAATTTTGTCAAATTTATTATTTTTTCTCTATACTCTTGGTTCAATTGCAATCCCACAATGAATGGTGATGATGAGTGATGATGATAATGTTGATAGGCCAATTGGATATGAATTGCAAATATCATTCTTTAGTCTAGGGGTTGCTTTTTAACATTCTTAATCATGTCTTTAGGTGAACAGCAGTTTTTAATTTTGATGGTGTCCAATTAATCAACTATTTTATAGCTATTCTTTTTATCTTCTATTTGATAATTATTGGCCAACACAAGGTTGATGTTGTCCTATATTTTCTTCCAGAAACTTCATAATTTTAGTTTAGATATTGCTATCAGTCATCATTTCTAAATTTTTTATGATATGACATAGGAATCAAAGGTTGTCTTTTCCCATATGAGTATCTATTGACTTACCTCCATTTATTGAAAATATCCCTTTTCCCATTAATCTAAATAGGCACCTCTGTCAAAAAGTTATTTTTTGTGGATTTATTCTAGACTCAGTTCTTTCTAGGTGATATAATTATTTTTACTTAAGTGGCACACCATTTTAGTTACTATAGCTTTATAGTAAGTCTTGGAATTTAGTATCTTAAAGTCTTTCTACTTTTTGCTTTTTTTTCAGAATTATATAGTATATTATAGGTCATTTGCATTTGTATATAAACTTGAAAATTATCTTGCCAAATTTTACAACTAAGCTACTGGATGGTTTTCAAACTACAAGTCACTTTTGATTGAAATAAAATCTTAATATGTCCAATTCATGAAATTGGCACATCTTTGTTATTTATTTAGGTCTTACTTAATTTTCTCTGCCATGCTTTGTAGTTTTTATATAGAGGCCTGCATATCACTTTCTGCTTTCTGATGCTTTGGTAAATGGTATTATACAGTTTATTTTTCAAATTGTTACTCTCTCATTTTAGAAAAATAAAATTGATTTTTGTATATTTAATCATGTCAGTTTTACAAATAATAAATCGCTGCCATTAACAATTTTCTGCCATTCCCTTTGGCTTTTCTATGTATTATATTCATCTCATTTGCAGATAAGGACAGTTTAGTTCTTTTTCCCCAATCTTTATGCTTTTTTTTGTAGTGGAATTCCATATGATGTTGAGTAGCAGACAATATTTAGTTCATCTAGTTTAATGATGCTTTTGTGTTTGTTTTGTTTTTACTGTATGAAGAAACTATTAATATATCAAAAATAAGTAGGACATTGGCTGTAGATTTAATAAATGACCTTTACTAGTTTTTTGGAAGCTTTTAAAATTTTCAGATAGATCTATCTATATGCAGTTATATATAAGTATACATATCTGTGTTTGTATGTGTATGTACATTTCCTGTCAGTGTAGAGAATCATCTTTTCATTCCTGGGATAAAAAGCCATTTTGTCATGATATATTTTATGTGTGTTTGATTTAATTTGGGAGTATTTTGTTTAGGGCTTTGAAATTATGATCATGAGAATTGTTTTACTTCCTTGCAATATAGTTGTCTTATTGCAAAATTTGGATTATACTGCCTCATAAAATTAGTTGGGAAGTGTTCTAACTTTCTATATTTCATGAATTTCTGTAAGATTTATATTGTTCTCTTATTCAAATGTTTAGTCCAGTTCACCATTGAATGAATATCTCTAGACTTGGAGATACCTTTGTAAGAAGATGTTTAAATTCAAATTTTGCTATAGTTTCATTTAAACCTATCAATTTTTCTTGTTTCTATGAGCCCTTTGTTCCTATTACATTTTTTAGTTCTTACCATTTTTTTTTCACTATTCAATTTATCTTAATTGGATTTTATTAGTTTTCAATGAAAGAACCTGTTTACCATTAGTGGGGAGTGAAAAATGGTGTTTAGAATCCAATCTCTGTGTGCTCGGTATGCTAATTGCTACCGAGTTTCACTATTTACATATAATTCAATAGCCCAAGCCAGAAAATATGTGTGTGTACACACACAAATGCAGCTGTAGGGTGTGTGTGCATAGGTGTGTGGATGTGTATAAATATGCATGTGGGTTTATATTAAAACCATAAGTTTATATTGATATATCCAACTCCAATAGAAAACTACAGGTAAAGAAAAAAATGGGGAGAAGAACAGATAAGATATGCCAAAAACAAACAGGAAGAGAATCAACTTATAGTGTAATATGTGAATTTCATTAAAAGTAATTTGTGTAAACTTTGCAATTGAAGTCAGAGGTTGTCACATTGGGTGAAAAAAATTGAATGCTGTCTACAAAAAATACTTTTTAAATATAAGACACAAATAGATTAAAATAAAAAAATGGAAACCTATATTTCATTAAAATCTAAATAAAAAGAAATCACAAGTTGATAAATTGATGTCAGAAAAGTAGACTGCAGAACAAGGATATTACCAGGATAAATAGTGGCATCGCATAATGATAAATAGCTCACTTTATCAAGAAGGCATAGTAATTATAAAAATATTTGCACCTAATAAGAGTGCATCAAAAACATGAATCAAATACCTATAGAAGTGAAAAACATAGACAAATCCACAATTATGTTAGCAACTCAAAAACTCTTCTCTCAGTAAATGATAAAAAAAATCAAATTGATAATCAACATGATCTGGAAGGCTTAAAATATTAACAGTCACCTTGACATTAATTGGCATATGTAGAACACAGGAATTAGGTATTGAATTTTTATCAGATTCCTTTTCTGTAATTATTGGTACATCATAATATCTGGAGTTGGAATGAGGGAGTGTCTCATTAAATGTGGGCTGTCCCTGAAAGTTGTGATGCAATTCCTAAAGAGAACAGCGAGATGAAGACTATTTATAGGTAGTGCTTTTGACAGTTATGGGATACTTCCTTTAACCTTAAAAGGGGAATTGCATTGTATTATTTTATTTTTAATTTATTTGTGCTAGAAACTGTGAAGTAGAAAAAAATATAATAAAATTCAAGTTTCTTCAAAGGTCATGCAACATTTCTAAATGTAATAATTTTTAAATTAAAATTTGATTATGATACTTAATAAATGCTAATGACTAGTGCTCCTAATTTTAAAATAGATTTAGATTCCTTGATTTTCTGTCTCACATTTTGAGGTTGAAGATAAAAATATACCTATATATGTATGTATAATTTTGAGACATGCACAATATAATCTGTTTATATGAAAGAGCATTTTTTAAAATTAGGACTTTTGACTTCAAGAATTTGAAATTTCTAATTACTTTCTCTCTGAATATTTTGCTGTAGGTCATGTATGCCCTCGAAATTGATGGGAAAACATACACTCTCCATCTTGAAAAACAGTAAGTGTCCCAGACAGTCCGTTTGTATGGAAAAGCCACTGGAGCAGCTTTGGATGCGCCCACAAGTTGGGTGGAGTAGTCTCAGAGAATCAACAGGGCAGGACAACCAGGTTGATAGTGACTGAGACCTGGCACCCATCTCCTACATGCTGGGAGTGGGGAGGACTCAATAAAGTAACAGTGGCTTCTTCCAGCACTTCTGTCTGTGCAGAGACCAGCTCCAGCAGGTCCAGGGGTTCCCTCAGGTGGAGGCGGAGTCTGGGAGGAAAAAGAAAAAAACGCACGGAAACACAGGAGTGCTTTTTCAAGAAGAGAAGTGTCTCACTTTATTCTTACAGCATGTCCCTTTTATATTGGGCAGTTGACCTTTTCCAGAGTTAAACTTTTGCCCTTTTGGCAGTTGTTTTTCTCAGAGCTTTTCTTCCTCCTGATGTTTTTGTTACAGGGTACAGCCTGACCTGTTCTATGCTAATGACTAACTTATCCTAACAATGTTTCAATTTCTACCTATAATGGCTTTGTGGCTGGAGCATAGTTCCTGCCCTGGCCCTAAAGGATGTTTACTACTTAGCAATTATTTCAAACACTACTGGCTAAACAGGATCTTAAGAATTATAAGGTGCATAACTTGTCTATTACTAAGAAACTAACAGCAAAACAGAATTATCGCAATATGTCTAAAACTCACTTATTCAGTTAAGATAAACTAAACAACCAATATAAGAAGGGGTGTCAGATCTTCATCCTACTGGGGGGCATCCCAAGGGGAATTAAAAAAATTTTAAGATATAAAGCAGTATCTGTTTCTCAGTCAGAGCTTCAGAATTTGTCACAATTGCAGTGTGCTTGGCCATGTCAAACACTGAGGCGCAGCCGGCTCCCAACATGTCTGGGAGAAACCTGTTCCTCCAACCCTCTCCCTGAAGCCAGTGAATTCAGTTCAAGTTGCTGCTCCAGTGCTGGAGCTCAGAGCAAGTGAGTCCATCAGTGCACAGGCCCATTAAGAGGAATGCCTGGAACTCCATTTCATTCAGACATGATCCCCTCCACCACAGTCCAATCAGCCATAACCCCCGCTTGTTTTCACAGCCAGAAGTGATAGGGACTTCTCTTCCCAGCACTGGCACCCTGAGCTGGAGAGCTTGGTGTGGAGCGGGGGCTATATGCTCCTCAGGGGGGACCTGTACAGTAGAGATATCCCTCCTGATTTTTACCTGCCACCTATGGATGTGGGATCAGACTGTTTCATGGCCATTCTCAACATGGCTTCTTCTGTATTCTAAGTTATAGGACTTTGTTTAGCTAGACTTCAGATGGTTTTCAATGATGGTTGTTCTGTAGATTAGTTGTCATTTTAATGTGGTCCTGGGAAGAGGTGAGCACAGCATTGACCACTTTGCCATCTTGACCGGAAGTCTATTAAAAGAGACTGCTTTTAGTTTCTTTAATGTTTGCAATCACTACCCTAAATTGCGACTAAACAAGAGCATGAATATTACATTTATTTAACATGCTGTATCTTCTTCCTGGTTCATGTCAGACTAGATTTTCAGTCTTCCTCTTGACTAATATTTGTGCCAAATTCTAATTTAATGATGTATATTTTAAGGTATGTTGGATAGATTAAAATTACTCTGTGTAACTTCTTAAAATATAACACAATTGTAACAATTAAGGGAATAATTTTATTTGTTTATGTTTAATTTTGTCTCCATGCTATTTTACATATTTGTATGATTTTAAGCATTTTACTTGATATTTCACAAATTTTTTTTCCTGTTTGCTTAAGTATGTATTTTTAATCTCTTAAATTTTCTTTTTTCTGTTTTCACTTTCTGAGGAAACCAATATCAATAAAACTTGTGTGTATCTTTCCCTAATTTTCATCTTTCCCTTAAATAAAGCATATAGAAACCTATCAAAAATTTTGTTTTTACGAAAATGGGAATTAGGTTTTGCAACTGGCAGGTCTTATTAAATAATGGTGTTTATTTTCTTGCTCTATGTATATATTGTAACTCATTATTTAATAAATAACATTCTATTGTTTGTGACATTGATAGGTAATGAGGTTATTTCCAGGAATTGTCACTATATAGTCCTACAATAAACAGCCTTGTATCTATATTCTTATATAGTTAGGGTTTTTTTTTTTTGCCTTGATATCAAGAAATACATTTCTGGCCTTTCTGTCTGTGGACACCACAGAGTAAGCATCATTAAAGTCTTTCCTCCTGTGTCATGTCTAAATCAGAATCTCCCAAAGAGCTTGAACAGCTGCGGAAGCTCTTCACTGGAGGTTTGAACTTTGAAACAACTGATGAGTCCTTGAAGCCAATTTGAGTAACACTCACAGACTGTGTGGTGATGAGAGATCCAAGCACCAAGTGTTCCAGAGCTTTTGGGTTTGTCATGTATGCCACTGTGGAGGAGATGGATGCAGCCAGGAATGCAAGGCCACACAAAGTGGATGGAAGAGTCATGGAACCAAAGAGGGCTGTCTCAAGAGAAGGTTCTCAAAGATCTGGTGCCCACTTAGCTGTGAAAAAGATTTTTGTTTGTGGAATTACAGAACACACTGAAGAACATCACCTAACAAATTAATTTAAACAGTATGGAAAAATGAAGTGATTGAAATCATGACTGACCGAGGTGGTGGCAAGAAGAGAGGCTTTGCTTTTGTAACCTTTGATGACCATGACTCTGTAGACAAGACTGTCATTCATACTATGAATGGCTACAACTGTGAAGTAAGGAAAGCCCTATTTAAGCAAGAGATGGCTAGTGTTTAATCCAGTCAAAGAAGCCGAAGTTGTTCTGGAAACTTTGGTGGAGGTCAAGGAGGTGGTTTTGGTGGTAATGACAGCTTTGGTCATGGAGGAAAGTTCAGTGGTTGAGGTGGCTTTGGTGTCAGTCATGGTGGTAGAGGATATGGTGGCAGTGGGGATGGCTATAATGGATTTGGTAATGATGGAAGCAATTTTGGAGATGGCGGAAGCACAAATGATTTTGGCAATTACAACAATCAATCTTCAAATTTTGGACTCATGGAAGGAGGAAACTGGAGGCAGAAGCTCTAGCCACTGTGGTGGTGGAAGCCAATACTTTGCCAAATAAAACCAAGGTGGCTGTGGTGGTTCCAGCAGCAGTAGCAGTACCTATGGCAGTGGCAGTAAATTTTAATTATTGCCAGGAAAACAAAACTTGGCAGGAGATGAGAACTAGAGATGTGATAGGAAAGCTATAGGTTACAGCAGATTTGTGAACTCAGCCAAGCACTGTGGTGGCAGGGCTTATCTGATACAAAGAAGACATATTTTAGACCAGGGGTTGGTAAGCTTTTGAGATGGAAGAGTCCCCAGGGGTCAGCAAACTGCAGCTCACGAGCCACATGTGGCTCTTTGGGTACATACATGTGGCTCTGAAGTGAAATTGAAAATGAAAATAAAACTATCATAGTTTCATTTATAAAATTTTAAAAGATGTTATTCACATAGTGGTGATTATGTAAAAATATATTTATGGCTCTCGAATAATTTTTAAATTGTTGTGAGGGACAGAATTGGCTCTTCCAGGGGTCGGCAAACTTTTGAGATGGAACGTACCCGAAGAGCTGCATGTGGCTCATGAGCTGCAGTTTGCCAACCCCTGTTTTAGACAATACTCATGTGTATGGGCAAAAAACTTGAGGACTGTGTATTTGAGGACTACTTGTATAACAGGTTATTTTAGTTTCTGTTCTGTGAAAAGTGTAAACATTTTAACAAAGTGTTCTAATGTAAAAAAAATTTTTTTACACCTATGCTGTTGATTGCTACATGCAATAGTCTGATCATGACAATGAATAAATGTGTCCTTTTTAAAAAAAATGTGCTGTGTAAAGTTGGTCTACTCTGAAGCCATCTTGGGAGATTACCCCAAAAGTGTGAAGTTATAATTCCTTCAGATTGATGCCAGTTTCCATTTGAAATTTACTTACAGCCTGCTTGGGTGCAGTAGCCATCATCTTCAGAAATTTTGCTGTAGTTGAATTGACAGTTACTGTGTGATAGCCTGGAGTCCACTGTTAAAAGTGTTACCCAAGAAGAGTCATGGAGTTTATTTGGTTATTAATGATTGTTGCCACAACTTATGCAATAAATCTAAATTGAATTATGGTAACAGGTAAAATTATAGATGGGAATGAAGCTTGTGTATCATAAAAAAAATAGGTTTCTGGATTTTTTTTACAATATTAACCCTTTCTTTATTTTATGTTATGAATATGCCACTCGGCCTATTGATTGCTTTCTCCCTTTGTGGGATTTATTGCTATAAAAATGAAATTTTCATGTAATCATTATATTCATATTTTCTTTTATAGGTCCTCAGCTTTCTCTCTTGTGTCTCTCACAACTGAATTTATATAATAATATTCTTATAGTATTTTAAAAATTATATTTACATTTAAGATGTAAATCCAAGGCTTCCAGTTACCTAACCACTGTATTGCATTTTTCAAATTTTATCACCACTTCCTTTTTATATTTTTTCTTTTATTGCAATTTTATGCTGACTCAGGTATTGTTTAGTTAGAATGCTTTCATATTATTTTCTTCAGATAGAATATGCAGTTGGCATGCTTTCTGAATCTGTGCATATCTGCAAATGTCCCTTTTGTTTTCATAACTGAGTAACATCTTGGCAATGTGTAGAATTTGTGAGTCATATTTCTTGGCTATAAATTTTTGTAATTCTATGTAGTCCATCTTAGGTGAATTTTCCAGTATTTTTTGTGTGTTTGTGTGTGTGCATGTGTGGTGCTATATTAATCCTCCCTGATATATCATAAGTCCCTTACTTTTTCCTTTTAGTTTAAATCCCTACACATTTTTTATTCTATGGGAAATCTGTGGTTTCATCCTGGGTCTTTTTGTTCTGCCCTCTGTGTCATAGTTTTTTCTATAACTATTTCCAATTTTTTAAAAATTTATTGGGGTGACAGTGGTTAGTAAAATTATATAGGTTTCAAGTGGACAGTTCTATAATACATCATCTATATATCACATGTGTGTTCACCACCTGGTCAGTTCTCCCTCCATCACCATATGTTTGAACCCCTTTACCCTAATCTTATTTTTGCTGTGGATCTTACCAGTAGTTATTCTCTTTATTGGCTAGGTATCTAATCTGTTCTCAGCAACCAAAGTCTCTTTGACACATTTATTGAAATATTTAATTTTAACTGTCATGTATTTTGATTCAGAGTGTTCTTTTTTTCTTGAAATGATATTCTTTGAAAGCCTGTTAAGTTTTCTTGAAATTATGATCATTTTCTTCATTTTACTTCATTAGGAAGTAACATTTAAGTTTTGCCTTACCACTGTTTATTGTTCATTTTCCTTATGTTGGAATTTATTTTCTGTGAATGGTCATTTGCATTTTTATTACTTCACTGATCAAGCCAGACTGTTTTATTGTTTCATATACAAGCAAAAAGTATACTTTTGAAGGCCCAGGGTGAATAAACTTGCAAACTAAACTTTTATCCTTTTAATTATGTTTGTAAGACATCTGTTAACATTTTTTACCCATAATTTCTTTTTCCTAGGGACTACTTCTGATTCCCATTTTCACCACCCTCATTTACATGCTACAGTTATTAAAATGTGGCTCTGCCCTTGAGCTGGAATTCATGTTCCAGATACCTGCATCTAAATCAACCCAGGCCATTAAGGGTTTTTCCTTGAGTATATGTAGACTATAAACTGATAAATGTCTGTTTTTCTCTGGGAAGCGCTCTAGTTTGTTTATTTTAATTGGGGAATTATAGTGAAGGAAAGTACCATGTGAATTCTCTAGGCCCTCTTCAATTCTGGCTTTGAAATGCCTCTTGGTGTTTGGAATCCTTAAGTCCCAGTCTCCCTATAATGAATAACGGTGTTAGATTGTTCCGTGATAATCACTATCTTCCCAGTAAGATTAAACTTCCGTACCATACTTATTTATATCAGGTTTGTCTATAGAAATCTTTTAGCTTAGCTAATAAAACTTGGACACAGTGTCCCACTTCTAAACAAAGTCTTTAAGAACTATTGTGTGCATCTACAAATTTTTCTCCTTCTGCTACAAGAAAGGCACAGTTCCTCCCAAGAACTGTGCTTTTCCCTGGGGTCCAGAATGAAGATAGTGTAGAGATGAACCTGCAATGAACTTGCGAAGAATATTTATTGTTGTTTGAAGGCATTGAGAACTTGGGGTTTGTTTTTACCACAACATAGCTTCATGAAAACTCATGATAAAAGCATATATATATGTATATGTATATGTATATGTATATGTATATGTATATATATACATACATATATATACATATATATATATATAGTTTGTATTTATCAACGCATGGCTACTTGTTAGCAAATATTAACTAACATTTTTGCCGTAAGAGTTATTGTTGCTTAAATCTAAAAGAAAACTGTGTTGTGGGAATCTGGAAGCCTTGATGTTTACTATAGATAAATCTGTGTCATTGTAGCACCCATACTGACATCTGTTTATACTGGTTATAATTTTTTCTTGTATGCACAATATGCTATCAAAAAGCAAGCTAGATAATGGAGAGATGAGTCCATTTAATATTTGGATATATGAACTTATATAATTGAAAGTGAATTTTGTTTAATTTCATGTTTTTAGAAGTTACTTTTATTAATAATATTATTACAATGAAGTGTCATTATTTTGGTTGAATTAGGTCATTTTTAGACCCTCATTTCCGGGTGTATTCTTACAACAAATCAGGAACATTGTATCCAGATTCTTCATTTATAAAGGTAAGTTTTGCTTTATGCTATGTAGATTTTTTTAAATGTGGTTAAGGTGCCATTGGTGAGGAGAAAAAGAATTACTGGGCAAAGAGATCACAAATCCAAATATAATGTGACAATTACAATAAAATCATACTGAATAGAACAACTACTTTTTAAATCTGGAACTCAGGAATCACTTATCCAAGAAGGTCATTTAAACTATCTGGAAGTATTAGTAGGAGTTTGAGAGGAAACAAAAAAATAATGGGTGAAGGAGCTAAGAAGCCACTAAACACAGTGAGCAATTAAAATTGAGTTATCATAGGATCTGTGTGGTGGAGGTAATGGTGGAAATTACTTTGTATAACAACCAGAGGGAAAGTGAGGATGCAGAAGCATATTGGGCACAAAAATCTGAATAGGTTCACATGTGAAATAGAGGAATTTGAACTGTATCCCAGAATGCAGATGGGAGTCAAGAAATTTTTCAAAGTATGTGAAAACGTTAGCTTTAGTCTGTACAATACTTACTTTGCCAGAATATATGATTGGAAAGAAGCAAATGATTGACAAGTGACTGGTCAGATTCTATTGCTGCTTGTAAATTGCAGTTGAGTGATAATAAATTTAAAAATATGGTAACTGGTACATAATCTCTTTTTCTCACCGTCTACAAGTAGAAAGCAGGACAAAACACGTAAGGCACCTGTTTTTAGACATTCGACAATAGGCAGATCAGGAATTTTCTCTCTGAGAGAAAGGAAGCATAGAAGGTGAAGCTCACATTCAGTGTGGCTCTCTGACTGGGGATAATGTCTTAATCATAGCAGAGGAGGTGGAACTAAGCAGGTTGGAGTTCAGGGCTGCTGAAGCAGCTGGGATCTTCAGGACACAGGACTGGAGATGAAGAGAGCCTATCAGATGAATTTTTTTTATTGTTTTGGAGGGGGTGGGGGGGGAGTGGGAGGAGAGCTGTTCTAAAGTCCTTGACTGAGGATTAGGCTGCATCGGTGCTGACTAAGACTCTACTGAAGGGTAGAAAGTAAAATGGTGGTGATACTATAGGTCAAACAGTGTTGGGAGATGTTGGGTTTTCAGCCCAAGCAGAGTAGTGTGACCAGGCATTCAGCTGAGACCAGAAAGTCTCGTCTTTAGGAGGAAGGATGAAGCTCTGGAGTAAGAGATATTTTTATCACCCCCACTCCTCACCCCACAGCCTAAGCCCAACAATGAGAGGATCAAGGAGGGCTACCATTAAATTAATTGCCTTCCAATGCAAAAGTCAATACTCTATAAAGGGTTACAACATAGTAGAGGAAGGCAACAACACAGATAAGGGCAGAAATCAATGAAATAGAAAAAGGAAGAATATAAAAAATTAAAGGCCAGAATTTAGTTCCTTAAAAATTAATAACTCCTAGTAATATTTATCCAAAATAAAAACTAATTCCATCAATACTAGGGCTGAAAGTAGATGTTATTAGTCATAGAGAAAATAAATATTTTGGAGTATTATGAAATCTTTATGCCAATAAATTTGAATAAAATGGAAACTTTTATTTCTCTGGAATACATGCTCAGGTATATGATTGCCTGGTCATATTATAAGTGTATGTTTATAGTTTTTTTTTAAAAACTACCAAACTGTTTACCAGGGTGGCTGTATCATTTTACATTTCCACTGGCAATGTACAAGAGATAGAGTGTCTGAATTCTTGCCACTGTTTAATCACTATTTAATATATATATTTTTAAATTTAGCCATTCTTATAGATTGTAGTGCTATCTCGTGTAATTTTGATTTGCATTTCCTTAATGACTTAATGTTGAACATATTTTTATGTGCTTATTTATCACTTTTTGTGAAATGTCTATTAAATGTCTTTCCCCATTTTCTAATTTGATTGATTGGTTTCTTACCGTTGATTTTTGAGCAATTTATATATTCTGAATACAGGTCCCTTGCCAGATGGTGGTATGCAAATATTGTCTCCCATGCTGTAATTTGTCTTTTCATCCTTTTCATAAAGTCTCTCGCTGATCAGAAATTTTTACATTGTTCCCTTGGCCTCCATGAGCATGTTTATGAGGGTCATTTTTAATTCTCTGTTAGGCAAATCACTTAACTTCATTTCACTAGGGTCAGTTTTGCAGATTTATCTTGTTCCTTTGTTTGTGATAGCTTTTTCCCGATTCTTCATTTTACTTAATTCTGTGTTTTGGTGTCTGCTTACTAGAAGACTATCCCAGTCTTCGCTGACTGGCCTGGTACAGTAGAGGACCCCTAAAAATCATCCTGGAAGGTGATTTTGGAGGCTTCTACTAACTCTTTCCCTCTTCAGGGTGAAGCAGGCATCTGTTTTGTTCCTACTTTCTTTGTGCTGGGTGTGAGGGAGGATCAGTGGCATCGACCATCCCAAGCTGCTGCTTCTATCCTTTTATAGACAACGAGATGGTGCCGGACCCATCAGTGCTCAGGTTTGGGGAGACAGATGCTAGGCATTTAAGCAATTTGGGTGAAGTGGGGGTACTACATGTATGGATCAATTATTTTCTTCCCCCAGGGGGTAGCAGAGAGCTGGGATTTTCATCCACTTGCTCTGTGCAGAATCGGGGGTGGGGGTGAATTAATGGTGTGTATTAGCCAGCACCTCCATTTTGGCCTGGGTGGGTAGACTGTGCTGAACTCATCAGAGCTCCAGGACTGGCGACACACATCCTTTGGGTAGCCCCCTTAGAAACACTCAGGCACTGGGCATGTGAACAAACCTTTTTTCTCCCCTGGGTCAAGCTGGGCACTAGAGGATTTCTTTCTGACCATATGACAGTGCTCTGAGGCAGGATCTCTGGTGACAAGGTAGCCAAAACGTCCCTACTGCCATTGTTGAGTCCGATGTTGCACTTTTCCAGGGTGTGCAGGAATCTTTCAATTAGTTTCTGATTTCTCACAAAGGAAATTTGTCTGTAAATTTTAGCTGAATTGGTGTGTTTCCTGGGGGATGGAAGAGCCAGGAAACACACCATTTTCCTGATCAGAAATTTCATTTCTTTGTTCATTTAAGTAATTTTATTACAGCTGTCTTAAAACTTTTGTCTGATAATTTCACCATGTGACTCATGTCAGTATTGACATCAGTTGGTTATCTTTTCTCATTTTTGCTATGATTTTCTTGGTTCTTGGTATAGTGATTTTCAATTGTATGCTTACCATTTAAATCTTCTATTATTTAAAATAATCACCCTGTGTAAGTTTAGGTTTAGTGTGGTCTGTTGTTCCAATGACAGTGTAGCTTTCTTGGGTCTTCTGATATTATTTTGTTGCTCTCCATTCCTCTGATCTGCTGGATCTCTATCGGTGCAGCCTATAGTGGTAAACGGTACTTTGATGGACAAACTTGTATTAGTAGATGTGGTTGGGTGACAAAGGATCTTTATCTATGGAATAAAGAGCATATCCTCTGGCTGTCCTCCAGCCACTGTCAATGTGCTTCTCACTCCATCTCTGCAAGTGTCCCTTGGTGTAGAAAGATCCTAACTGGACCACTTTTCACTGCTTGGAGTTGGAGTTGTTGGGAAATATCTCATGAGGAGCTATTTTTTAGGACTGGGTGCAAGGCCAGGAGCTGCAGAGTCTGAACTGCACTCTGCTGCTGCATAGAGTTTGGCACCCAGCTTGCATTCTACTTTGTGATAGGCTTGTAGTTGCAATGTCTGCTGGCACCAGCACAGGTGGAGGTAGCTGCAGCAGTTGCTTGGTATGAAGGCAGGGTGTGCTCAGCCACTGTCAATGGGTGGGAGATATGGTTATTCCTGGTTTTCAGAAAAGCAAATGGTTATTAATGGAGATATATATCGGTTACCTAAAAATGTATACACAAATTCATCGGGGAGAATGTGATAACAGTAAAGTTTAAATAGCACAGTATTAACAAGGGAACAGGACTGATTGATTGTAGACATCACTACACTTTTAAGGGAAGAGACGGGAATATTCACCGAAAGAGTATTGGAGGGGAACTTGAGACGACTAATACTGTGAAAGCCCATGGAAATGAGGGTTTAAACTAGGGATGATCAACATGGTGAAATATTAAAGAGAAAAAAATATATAAAGAAATGCCATTTAAGATACTTATAGGTAACTTAGAAAATACAAGCAAGATGTTCACAATTGAAGTCAAATTAATGCTGTTAATTATGTAGAGTTAGCAGTTACAGACCATACATTCAAGAAATGTGGCTGAGAAAGAAAAGATAAGAAAGCTGTTTGTCAAAATATTAGAATTTAGAAATAACTGTGTAGCAACAATTATTGGGAAAGAATAGGAGTCATGATTATTCATGGGCAGAAGAGGGTGAAGAGGAAGAGATTGTAGGGCGATAACAAGAACATGGGATGTCTGGTGAATAATATGGTAATGGCTAACTCTGAATGTTTCGTGATATCTAGGCAATAAAGATAAAACCCAAAATGTTATATTCAAACCACTCATGAATGTATCTTTATGTACTCCTGATTAGGGCCATTGCTTTTATCAAGGATATGCCGCAGAATTTCCAAAATCAGTTGTGACACTTAACATCTGTTCTGGACTCAGGTAATGGCATATTCCAGAGATTTGCGTGCTTGAAAATCTTGTGCACCCTTTAATTTTTAAGAAATTCCTTGAATGGTAGAATGAAAGCAAAGAAAGTATAGGCTTTGATTGTGTTTCTTCTCATATACTTTCTTTTCCTACTCCTCTTACCGTTTTTCTTATTCTTATTGTCTCTATCCTAGGCTTGCAGTCATAAAATTTATTCAGAAAAAGCCCACTAGTATAAAGAATATTCACAGTTATTAGCCATACTAGAACCACAGTGACTCCTAAATGCCACAATAGACAGATGGTATAAAATTTTGTTGAAGGTTAATTTAAGTATGATTCTTAGCTTAAATAGACCATAAAAACCACTATCAAATTTCTATAAATATTTTTATTTAATGTGAATTTACGTTTCTCATATACATAGTCATATATATTTATATTTCTAATTTTATATAATTAATAAAATACTATCTATATTAATTGACTTTATTTTTATGTCTTTAAATACTCAGGGGATTATTGCAGCTGGAGAATGTCAGTTATGGAATTGAACCATTGGAATTTTCATCTACATATGAGCATATGCTTTATCAAATAAAGAATAATGAAATTCATTTTCTCCCTTTACAAGAAAATTATACTATAACCCCATTGGTGAATCAGTCCTACAAGATTCTTGTGAAGTCAGAAGTAAGTAACACATTTTCTGAGATTTTCATTTTTGTTACTTTTGAAAAACTTGTTCATATTGATATGTGTTACATTTGGAAAATAATGTTAAACGGATATTGATTATATTAAAACCTCTTGTAAGATATTTATTTTAAAAGTTATAGAAATGAACATGTAATAGATATGAACACACATACTTCAAAAATGAAAATTATCCACCCAGAGTCAGTTCTTCTTCCATTACCACATTATTTGCCACCCTTTACCTTCCTCTGTCACTCTGGGTGGTGAATACACAATGCAATATATAGATGATATATTAGAGAATTGTACACTTGAAACCTATGTAACTTTACTAACCAGTGTCACACCAGTAAATTTAATGAAATGAAACTTTAAAAAATGAAAATTCTCACATTTCCCTAATTGCAAGTAGTATTCCTATATGTATAATGGAACTAAAATGTGATCCCAAAATTTATGCCAGCTCTGGAAACCATCTACATGTTACAATACAACATTGGACACAACTTAAGACAATTTTTGCAACTGAGTACTATCTCATGAAGTAAATTGAAAAAATTTAAAGGATTCCATGAATACTATTTTGTGGCAGAGGGATAACCTGAAGGGATGCACTTGCTTTGGAAAGACAAATAACACTGCACTTGCAGCCATCCCCCTCCAATGAATCAGCAATAACAGAGGTACTGGAAGAGAAAGAAATAGCACACAGTCTTAGCCGCCTGGCTTGAAATCCAAGTCTGTCAGCCTGAATCTATAAAAACTTGGACGAGTAACATAACCTTTCTGTGTTTAAATTTTCTCATGTGCAAAAAGCCAATAATGAAAACAATATGTAACTATTACAATTATTTCACAGATAAAATAAGTTTACAAATAGAAATTATTTAGCATAATATGTAGAGAAATATAAGTGATCAGTAAATATCGCTGCTACTACTATTACTATTTGTTCACCATATTTTCTAATATAGAAGATCTAGGTAATTGGAAGTAAATACAGAAACTTTGGATACAAAACAAAATTCAATAATGAAATAAAATAGAGACACAAATGTCAGAACCTAAGAAGAAACCAGGGTTGTCACTACAGGAATGAAGATAAGTGGGTATTGATATGTGTTTGTGAATTTTGTTCTTTCATATTGGAAGGAACCGAAAAATAATATAAAAGTACATAGGCACATTTATGAAAGTAAACAAATAAGCTTATAAATAAGATGAGCATCTTCATTATAGCCAAAGTTGAAAAATATTTAAAAAAATAAAAAAAATACAAGAAAAGGCTTACCTGTTAAAAGCACATGGGACACATGCATTTACCCCTGCCCTTTCCTTGAACCTCACTAAAGTGAAAAGGGATTTTTAAAATGACAGAAACATACAAACACAGACAACTGGAGAGGAGTAATAACAAAGGAAGTTGAATAGCAGATAGCTAACCAGCTGATTTAGCTGAATCCTAAACTGGTAATTGTGTTAGGCTATAGGAAACTTGATATATACTGCAGTAGTACCCAAACATTTCTGGAATTGCATGTCCACATATCATAGGAAGTGATTTTAAAGGTGAACCTATGAAGAGAATTTGTTGAAAATAAGTTGCAGAAGTATTTAGAAATTCTGATTTCCTCTCCTAATCGATTGTCTCTGTTGTAGATCATTATAACAGATAACTGAAGTCTATTTTCTTTGAGAAGTCTGTGAAAGGGACCATCAGGCACAGATATTCTATTGTATGCCACAATAGAGGAATACAATACCGAAACTGATTTGACTAAGTTAAATTTGGCACACTAGATATTGGGAACCAGGATTATGCATTCTAAGAAATGTGTTGAAGATGCCTCTTCAGGAGGGAATCAGATCAGCCAAAAGAATAAAAATTAACCATATTGACAGCAGGGTTTTTCCAACCAACAATCCAGACAAATTACCCTCTGTGAAGAAAACAACCCCTAAATGCCATATGAGGTCACAGATGTTGGAATAAGATGTTAAGTGCTCAATTCCTAATATGTAGGGGCAGCAGACATATGATGAAACAATTTAACATGGGAGATAGATATATATGAAAAAAATCAAAGTTTTAAAGGTTGAAACACCAAAAAATATAGAAAGTGAAGAAAACAAAAATGACAATGTCCTTGGAGAGATAAGAGAAAATATGTACAAAATAAGAACAGTTTGCTATCTATCTATCTATCTATCTATCTATCTATCTATCTATCTATCTATCTATTTGATTATATTGGTTAGTAAAATTATACAGGTTTCAAGTGTACATTTCTATAATACACCATCTATATATTGCATTGTGTGTTCACCACCCAGAGTCAGTTCTCCTTCCATCAACATATACTTGACAACCTTTTCCCTCTTCTACCACCCCCTCCCCCTTACCCTATGGTAACCACTAAACTGTTGTCTGTGTCTGTGAGATTTTTTTCTTTGTTTGTTTGTCTTGTTCATTTGTTGTTTTAGTTTTATATCCCATATATGAGTGAAGTCATATGGTTCTCAACTTTTTCTGTTTGACTTATTTTGCTTAGCATAAATACTGCCATTTGCAACAACATGGAGGAATCTTCAGATTGCTATTTTAAAAATAATATTCAGCAGATAACAGTTCTTTGAAATTAAAAGCATAGTAACAAAAATGTAAGAAATGAATAGAAAGTTCATAAGACAAAATTGCAGAAATTACACAAAAAGTAAAGTACAAAGACAAATGCCAGGGAAATTTGACAGATGAAAAATTAAAATATAAATATGGGTGATACAAGAAGAGTTCCAATATGAATAAACAGAGAAAACTGAGTTAAATAAATCACAAAACAATCCAAGAAAAATTATCTAAGATGAGTTTCTTGATTGATATCAGAAAAAGCTCTATTTTCTTATACATGAATAAGATAGAGAATGGAATTAAATATATCAGCAGCCATACTGGAAGTTGAAAGGCAATACCACAGTTACTTAAAATGAGGCAAAGTCATTTTCAATCTATAATTCTGTACTCAGCCAGAACTATATAATTAAAATTTTTTTATTGAAACCGTTTTTTTCTTTCCTAATATGAAATGTCTTCCCTAATGTATAAAATAAGCAAACTATAGTTATTTAAAAAATAAAAAGAGACTCTAATCTCATCATGAATGAGAATAGTAGCCAGTCAAATTCACAACCAAATTCACAAATAATAGTTGCTAAATACAGTGAAATTTCAATCAAGTAGAAAAGAAGAGTCACAGGAAAAAAAGAAATCGACATTGTTCAGATGTTCATTTCCCCCACATAGATCTGTAGAGTAAGTTTAATTCCAATCAAAATTCCAGAAAACATTTTGTAAAAATTGGTTTGGAAATTCATAAGGAGATGCAAATATCCTAGAATAGTCAGTTTAAAAAAAAATAAGATGGACTTACATTGTTTTTTCCTTAAAGGAACAGATAACAAATATTTTAGACTTGTGGGGCATATGGTCTATTGCAGCTACTACACTCAGCTTTTGTAGCATGAAAGCAGTGTAGACAGTATATAATCAAATGGGTGTGGCTGTGTTCCAGCAAAATATTTTTTACAAAACAGGTGACCATGTCTTGGGACGTAGTTTGTTGATCCCTGTTACAGAAGTGCATATTGTGTTATTGATATAAATACAGACCTATAGAACAGTGGAACAGAATAGATAAGAAGACCCACATGCTATTGGCTAGTTGATTTTCCACAAAGATGCTAAAGAGTTTGAAAAGTTAAAGAATGATCTCTTCAACAAATGATGCTAGAAGACTGGATATCCATATATAATAAAGTGATGCTTGGCTCTTATTCCAAAAAAAAACCAACAACAACAGAAAACCCCCAAAAAACTAGAGCCTAGACTTAAAAATCAAAGCTAAACATAAAACTTCTAGTAGGAAGCCTAGGAGAAATCAAGTTAATGATTCGTAAGCATGTGAAAAGATGTTCAACATCATTAATCATCAAGGAACTGCAAATTAAAACCTCATGAGATATCAACACAGACTAACAAGAATGGATACAATGATAAAGACTGACAATACCAAGTATAGACAAAAATGTAGAGCAATTGGCACTCATTAAATCTTGGTGAAAATGCAGAATGATCAAACTACTTTAGAAAACAATCTGGAACTTTTGTTCTACTTTACACACCCACAATTACCATGTGACTTGGTATTCGATTTCTAAGTATTTACCAAGAAAAATGAAAGAATATAACTGCACAAAAATCTGTACATGAGGGCCGGCCGAGTGGCACAATGGTTAAGAACTGGCTTGGGATGCCAGAGAGCCCCGGTTCGGATCCCACATATGAGGGCCAGTGACACTGCCCTCCACAGCTAAGACGCTGAACAACAGCTCAACCTGGAACCGGCCTGCTGTGAGTTGCCGGCGACGGTGTAGGCTGCAGCCCCTGTGGCAGCCAGCGTGAGGGGCCAGCAGCCGCAGTGAGCGGCCTTCCAGAAGCCGGCGACTGATCTGCCTCACCAGGGAAGAGCGCAATGATGGTGCCAACTTGGGCCAGTGAAGCAACGTCCTCCACAACTAGACTGAAGAACAAAACGACAGCAACTTGTCTGTTCCCCTTCCCCCAATTCCCCAGCGCTGTTCCCATCCCTCAATTCCCCAATAAAAATCTTAAAAAAAAAAAATCTGTACATGAATATTTATACCGGCTTTAATTATATCTAAATAAGCCAAATCAACAGGTAAATGTACAAATTATGATGTATTTCTACAATGGCACACTACTTAACAATAAAAACTAATAAATTAATAATCACAACAATATGAATGAATGTTGAGTGAAAAAATTGAAACAAAGCAGTTCATTGGTTGCCTTGAGCCATGAGGGCTATTGACTTGGAAGAGGGTGATGGGAACATTCTTTGTCTTATTCATGGAAATGGTTACATGGGTGTATACATTAATACCAATTCATATAACTGTATACTCAATATGAATGCATTTTATTGATTGTAAGCCACAATAAAGTTAATATGAACAATTAAAGGTATTAAAATAATGGTAAAATAGATGCAATGTTTGGGGAAAGTTGATGGGAGTTTGTTTAGCTTGAAGTTTGGGAGAGGATCCTAGAAGAAGTTTTGGAGAGGAAGGAAATATGAGGTCTGGCAAATTTGTGAACTTGTTGCAACGATGTTGCTAACCTTTTTTGATATCAGAGGGATTATTCATTATGAACTTGTACCAACTGGACAAATAGTTAACCAAGTTGACTATTTGGAAGTGTTGAAAAGGCTGCATGAAAAACTTAAACGACTTGAGCTTTTTGCCAACAATTCATGGCTCTTGCATCATGACAATGCACCAACTCACACGGCACTGTCTGTGAGGGAGTTTTTAGCCAGTAAATAAATAACTGTGTTGGAACACCCTCCCTACTCACCTGATCTGGCCCCCAATGACTTCTTTCTTTACTCAAAGATAAAGGAAATATTGAAAGGAACACATTTTGATGACATTCAGGGCATCAAGGGTAATACGACGACAGCTCTGATGGCCAATGCAGAAAAAGGGTTCCAAAATTGCTTTGAAGGGTGGACTAGGTGCTGGCATCAGTGCATAGCTTCCCAAGGGGAGTACTCCAAAGATGACTGTATGATATTCAGCAAGGAGGTATGTAGCACTTTTTCTAGGATGAGTTTACTTAATTGTTTAATTAAATTCACGAACTTAATTGTCAGGCCTCGTATGAGCTCTCCCTCATTGCAGTCACGTTTTGTGAGGATTCTAATTATCAAGAATATAAAGTAAAAGCTTCTGTTTTGTTCCTAAAACATTTATTTGGAATCTCACCTGTTTATTTACTCAGTCAGCATCCATCCTCTTATTTTCTTATTATCTATATATCTTTATGTATCTATATCTATCAATTTGTCTATCTAGCTATGCCTATTTCTGTGTGTACATATATAATGTACATGATAATCACAAACAATATAATATATTTTTTAAAATGTCGTATTTAATCATGTCCTCTGTTTCACAGAAAAATTCAGATGTTGTGCTATTGAAAAGAACTCTGAAAATACAAATCATTATGGATAAAGCTTTGGTATGCATCATTGATATATTTCAACATATCGTTGTTTTGCAATTAAATTCAAAGGGAATAAGAAAAAGAAACTTCCTTTCTTTGCAATACATATGTATTTTACTCTGTTCAAAATATGTGTCTCCATATAGCAAGACATAAAGAAATGTCAATTGCCTCTACATTGAAACAGGGGGAACAGTATTTATGGTATTGATTTCTAAATCAGTATGGAATCCTAGTAACAATGTATAATATAACTCTGCATGTATGGAAGGCTTCTACTACACTATAATCTATTGGATTATAACTAGCTGCAGATATTTCTGAATCCACCCCAAATTGTGGTGAAATTCTTTCTCAAGTTGATTTCCATTTTAAAACAAGCTATTTCATTTATCATACCCAGGAGTGAAGTTGCTGGGTCATAACGTAGTCCTATTTTTAATTTTTTGAGGAAACTCCATACTGTTTTTCATAGTGGCTGCACCAATTTACAATTTCATCAACAGTGCATGAGGGTTCCCTTTTCTCTGCATTCTTGCCAACACTTGTTTGTTGATTTATTGATGATAGTTGACCTGACAGGTGTGAGGTGATATCTCATTGTGGTTTTAATTTGCATTTTCCTGGTGATTAGTGACATTGAGCATCTTTTCATATGTCTATGGGCCATCTGTGTGTCCTCTTTGGAGAAATGTGTATTCAGGTCCTACGTCCATTTTTTAATCAGATTGTTTGTTGTTTTGGTGTTAAGTTGTATGAGTTTCTTATATATTTTGGATATTAATTTTATTGGATGTACCATTGGTGAATATCTTTTCCCATTAAGTAGGTTGTCTTTTCATTTTATTGATGGTTCCTTTTGCTGTGTAAAATCTCTTTAATTTGATATAGTCACATTTGTGTATTTTTTTCTTTTGTTTCCCTTCCTGAGGAGACATAGCCAAAGAAATATTATTAAGAGTGTTCAAATAATTTGTGGCCTATCTTCTCTTCTAGGAGTTTTATGGTTTCAGGTCTTACATTTAAATATTTAATTCATTTTGAGTTTATTCTTATATATAATGTATGAAAGTGGTCCAGTTTCACTCATGTATCTGTCCAGAGTTCTCAACGCCGTTTATTTAAGATGTTATCTTTACTCCATTGTATATCCTTGGTTCCTTTCAGATTAATTGACCATATAGGTGTGGGTTTATTTCTGGGTTTGCTCTTCTGTTCCATTGATCTATGTGTCTGCTTTTATGCCAGTACTGTACTGTTTTTTGTTTTTGTTTTTAATTGGGGAATTGGGGAGATGGGAAGAGTGCTGGGGAATTGGGGGAAGGGGAACAGACAAGTTACTGTCCTTTTGTTCTTCAGTCTAGTTGTGGAGGACGTTACTTCACTGGCCCATTGCATTCTTCCCGGGCGAGGCAGATCAGTTGCCAGCTTCTGGATGTCCACTCACGCTGGCTGCTGGCTACACACGGCAGCCCATGGCAACCCACTACCACAGGGGCTGCAGCCTACGCCATCGCTGGTGACTCACAGCAGCCCAGCTCCAGGTTGAGCTGTTGTTCAGCATCTTAGCTGTGGAGGGCAGTGTCACTGGCCCTCATATGTGGGATCCGAACCGGGGCCCTCTGGTGTCCCAAGCCAGTTCTTAACCATCGCGCCACTCAGCTGGCCCTGTACTGTTTTGATTACAGTAGACTTGTAGTATAGCTTGATATATGGTTGTATGACACTTCCAACTTTGTTCTTCTTTCTCAAGATTGCTGTGGCTATTTGAGGTCCTTTGTGGTTCCACATACATTTTAGGATTAGTCTAGTTCTATGAAAAATGCCATTGGTATTTTCATAGGGATTGTGTTGAATCTGTAGATTGCTTTGGATAGTATGGACATTTTAATGATATTAATTCTTCCTATCCATGACCATGGTATATCCTTCTATTTATTTGTATCTTCCTCAGAGTCTTTCTTCAATGTCTTACAGTTCTGTGAGTACAGGTCTCTTACCTCCTTGGTTAAGTTTATTCTTACGTATTCTATTTTTTGTAATGCAATTGTTAATGGGATTGTTTTCTTAACTTCTCTTTGTTAGTTTGTTATTGGTTAATAAAAATGCAACCAATTTCTGAATATTAATTTTATATCCTGGTACTTTACAGAATTCATTTATTAGCTCTAATTTTTTTTGGTGGTTTTTTTAAGGTTCTTTATAGTAGTATCATGTCATCAGCAAATAATGACAATTTATTTCTTCCTTTCCAATTTAGATGCCTTTTATATCTCTTTCCTGTCTGTGGCTAGGACTTCCAATACAATGTTGAATAAAAGTGGTGAAAGTAGACTTCCCTGCCTATTTCCTGATCTTAAAGAAAAAGCTTTCAGCTTTCACCATTGAGTATAATGTTAGCTGTGGGTTTGTCATAGATGGCCTTTATTATATTGAGGTATGTTCCTTCTATCCCCAGTTTTCTGAGTTTTTATCATAAATAGATGTTCAGTTCTGTCAAATGCTTTTTCTGCATCTATTGATATGATCATATGATTTTTAGCCTTCATCATGTTTATGTGGTATATCATGTTAATTGATTTACATTTATTGAACCAGCCTTGTATCCCAGAGAAAAATTCCACTTGATCACAGTATATGATCTTTTTAATAAATTGCTGAATTCATTTTACTATTATTTTGTAAAGGGATTTTACAGCTATGTTAATTGGGGATATTGCCCTTAATTTTATTTTATTTTAGTAATGTGTTTGGTTTTGGTATCAGGGTAATGCTGACCTTGTAAAATGCATTTTAGATACTTCGCTCCTCTTCAATATTTTGAAATAGTTTGAGAAGAATAGGTATTAATTCTTCTTTGAATGTTGGGGAAATTCATCTGTGAAGTCATCTGGTTCAGGGCTTTTATTTGTTGATAGTTTTTGATTACCGATTTGATTTCGTTAGTAGTTATCAGTTCAGGTTTTCTGTTTCTTACTGAATCAGGCTTGGAAAATTTATGTTTCTAGAATTTTACCCATTTCTTCTAGGTTGTCCAATTTGTTGGCATATAATTATTCATAGTATTTCCTTATAATCTTTTGTATTTCTCTGCTGTTGGCTATCACTTTTCCACTTTCATTTTTTATTTTATTTATTTTAGCCCTCTCTTTTTTCTTGATGAGTCTGGCTCAAAGGTCTATCGGTTTTGCTTATCTTTTCAAAGAATCAGCCCTTGGTTTCATTGATCTTTTGTATTGTTTTTTAGACTATACTTTATTTTCACTGTAATCTTTATTATTTCCTTCCTTCTACTCACTTTGGACTTTGTTGTTCATTTTCTAGTTCATTTAGATGTAAGGTTAGATTGTTTGAGATTTTTCTTGTTCCTAGAGGTAGGCCTGTATTGCTGTAAATTTACCTATTAGAACTGATTTGGCTGTGTTCCATAAGTATTGGGTCATTGTGTTTTCATTTTCATTTGTCTCAAGGTGTTGTTTGATTTCTTCCTTGATCTCTTTGTTAACCCATTCATTGTTTAGTAGCACTTGTTTGTGTGTATTTTAGTTTTCTTTTTCTAATTATTTCTAGTTTCATATCATTGTGATGAGAGAAGATGCTTGATATGATTTCAGTCTTCTTAAATTTAATGAGACCTATTTTGTGGTCTATCCTGGAAAAATATTCCATGTGCAGGTGAGAAAAATGGATATTCTGCTGCTTTTGGGTGAAATGGCCTAAATATACTAATTGAGTCCACCTAGTCTAATGTGTCACTTAAGGACACTGTTTCCTTGTTGATTTCATTTTAGATGACCTATGAATTGATGTCAATGGGGTGGTAAAATCACTTATTATGACTATATTATTACCAATCTCTCTCTTTATGTCCATCAATATTTGCTTTATATATTTAGATGCCCCTTCATTGGGTGTGTGGATGTTTATAAGATTTATGCCCTTTTGTTGGATTGATCCCTTTATCATTATGAAATGTCCCTTTTTGTCTCTTGTTACAGCCCTTGTTTTAAAGTCTATTTTATCTGATAAAAGTATTTTGTTACCCAGCTATTTTTTCACTTCCATTTGAATGAAATGTCTTTTTCCATCCCTTTATTTTCAGTCTGTGTTTACCTTTGATCTGAAGTGGGTGTCTTGTAGGCAGCATATGTATGGGTCTGTCTTTTTGCTTTGTTTTGTTTTGTTTTTTCATTCAGCCACACTATTTCTTTTGGTTGGACCATTTAGTCCTCTTACATTTAAAGTAATTATTGATAGATTAGTTGTTATTGCCATTTTACTAATTGCCTCTTGATTATTTTTGTAGTTCTTTTTTTCTAATTTAATTTCTATTTTATTTTATTTTTAGTTTCAGGTGTACAAAACAATGTAATAGTTAAATATTACACCCCTAACAAAGTGATAACCCCTTTCCCCCAATATATTACCCTTCTGACATCATATATAGCTGTTATAATTCCATTGATTCTATTCCCTATGCTGTACTCCATATCCCGTGAATGAATATATATATATATATATATATATATAGTTATAGTTAACATTCAATGTTATTCAGCTTCTGCTTTAGGTGTACAGCTCAGTGGTCAGGCATCTACACCGTCCATGAAGTGGTCTCCCTAGTAAGACAAGTGCCCATCTGACACCCTACAAAATCTTTACAACGTTATTGATTATATTCTCCAAACTGTTTTTCATATCCCTGTGGCAATATTGTGACTACCAATTTGTGCTTTCTAATCCTCTCACCTTCTCCCTCATTCCCGTCCCCCTCCCAACTAGTAACCATAAGTTTTTCCTCTGTATCTCTGAGACTATTTCTGTTTAGTTTGCTATTTATTCAGTTCTTTAGATTCTACATATAAGTGAGATCATATGGTATTTACCTTTCTCCATCTGACTTATTCACTTAGCATAATATTTGTTTTTGTAGTTCTTGTTCTTCTGTTATTCTGTTGCTCACTTCTCTTGTATGTTGATGACTTTCTATAGTGTTGTGTTTGGATTCCTTTCTCTTTGTTTTCTGTATATCTCTTGTAGATTTTCGGTTTGTGGTTACCTTGTGCTTTCTTATAGCAAGCTATGTTTTTAGCAGTCTATTTTGATTGTCACTTAAGTTTGAATACATCTTAAATTACTACAGTTTTGCTCACCCCCTCCATGTTTATGTTTTCATCATTATTTTTTACTTTTGTGCATATGTGTTTGTGTGTATTCCTTAATGTATTGTTGTAATTATACATGATCTACCTACTTTTGCCTTTTAACTTTTGTACTAGCTTTATCATTGGTTGAAACACTGCTTTTACTAAGTGTGCCTTTGTCAGTGAGAAATTTTCTATATTTTTTAATTCATATTTTTTATTTTTTATTTTCTTCTGAAAGAAGACCTTTTAACATTTGTTGTAATACTGGTTCAGTGGTGATGAGCTCTTTTGGCTTTTTCTTGTTTGTGAAGTTCTTTATCTGTTCTTCTATTCTAAATGATAGTGTTGCTGGATAGAGTAATTTTGGTTGTAGGTCCTCACTTTTCATCACTTTGAATATTTTGTGTAAATTCCTTCTGACTTGCAATGTTTCTGTTGAAAATCAGCTGACAGTCTTATGGGAGCTCCACTGTAGGTAACTCACTGCTTTTATCTTGTTGGTTTTAAGATTCTTTCTTTCTCTTTAACCTTTGGCATTTTATTAATGATGTGTCTTGGTGTGGGCCTCACTGAGTTCATCTTGTTTGGGACTCTGCTCTTCCTGGACTTGAATGTCTATTTCCTTCACCAGGTTAGGAAAATTTCCCATCACTATTTCTTCAAAAAGCTTTTTAATTCCTTGCTCTCTGTCTCTTCTCCCTCTGGTGCCCCTATGATGGGAATATTGGTATGCTTGATATTGTCCCTGAGGTCCCTTTAACTATCCTCATTTTTAAAAATTCTTTTTCCTTTTTGCTGTTCTCATCGGCTGTTTTCTGCTACCTTATCTTCCAGATGATTGATTTGATCCTCCGTTTCACATAATCTACTGTTGATTCCTCCAATGTATTCTTTATTTCAGTTATTTTATTCTTCATTTCTGATTGGTTCTTTTTTGTTTTCTATTTTCATTTTTATGCTCCCTTTCTCTTTATTGAAGTTTTCACTGAGTTCATCTATTGTTCCCCTTAGTTCATTGAGCATCCTTATAACAAGTGTTTTGAACTCTGCATGTGGTATATTGCATGTCTTCATTTCGTTTAGTTCCTTTCCTGGAGTTTTGTCCTGTTCTTTCTTTTGGGACTTGTTTCTTTGTCTTTTCATATTGGCTGACTCCCTGCATGTGTTTCTATGTTTTAGGTAGAGCAGTTTCTTGCTCTTGGGAGAGTGGCCTTATGTAGTTGATGTCCTGTGAGACCCAGTGGTGCAGTTCTCCTGGTCACCTGAGCTGGGTGCTCCAGGTGTTTCCCTTGTGTGGGTTGTGTGTGCTCTTCTGTTGTAGTTGATCCTTGGTTGCTCTTGGTGTGTCAGAGGGTGGGACTGAACTCCAGGGTAACTGGCTAGGAGGAATGGCTGTGGCTATAGCAAATAAACTGCTATGCAAGAACTGAACCTATGGTATTTGCTTTGACAGGGCTCTACCCTTTTGGTGTATCATTTGTCAAGTTGGTTATTCATGTCACACACACTGCATTTTGTAAACGTACATATAGTTTCTTGGGAAATGTTACATACAGAAAAATTCCAAAGCACAAACAGTCTCTAAAGAGCTAGGAGGATAGCTTCTCTTGTCTATAACAGAGAACTCTATCCATTACATTTTATTTTCTGTCAGTAGTCTTCTGCAGACTTACAGGAGACTATTGAAGATCCCAAGCTTCCACTTTTTACACTTTTTGCAAATACTTAGAAACATGTATGCACACGCAATTAGATTTCAGAAAAAATCTGATGATTTTTGTTCCTTTAAATGAGGACATATTTTTGAAATTGTTCACTATTATTACTCAGAGCTCTGTGTTTATACCAAAAATACTTAGTAGCTTAGTTAGTTAGAGACTTGATTCCCGGTTCTTACCTTTAGTATTTATGCAATCTTGGGAACTTAACTTTTGACCCTCAATTTCTATATGTGTAAAGAAGAAGATAATCACAACCATATCATTTTAATATTATTGATTAATACAAAAAGGCCCTAGGTTTATTAATCATTTGATACATCTAAATTTTACTTTTGTCCTTTCATTTGAGCACTGCATTACTGTAACATTTTTTATCCATTTAAAATGTAGTAGTAATTTTTGCTAGTGATTAAGAAACTGAATTTGTCTTTCAGTTTGATTATATGGGCTCTGAAGTGGCAGTTGCAACTGAAAATGTTGTCCATATCTTTAGCCTTATCAATACTGTAAGTATTTGTGTTTCACATTTAAATAATAAACATTCCTATGAATACAATAACATTGTTTATATAAATAGCATTTACATTTTTATAAAAAGTATAGTCCTATCAACCAGTTTCACCCACCAATGGATTTCATCTCCAAATAACAGTAAATTGACTCTATTAGCATTATGTATAGAGATATAATTTATATTTATAATTACCTAAATTGTATGTCATGTATCTTCTGTTTACAGATGTTTTCCCAGCTTAAATTGACTGTTAATTTAACATCTTTGGAGCTCTGGTCAGATCAAAATAAGATTCCATCTAACGGGGATGCTAATGAAGTACTACAAAATTTTGTGTCATGGAAAGAAAAGTTTTTGTTTCAAAGGTCCCATGATATGGCATTATTATTAATGTAAGTACCTTATTTGCAATGATATAGGGTTTATCAAATTATTTGATATGTTAGCTATCAAAATTATGTACAAATTTATTATGTATAATGACAAGACACCTCAAAAAAGGAGTATATGAGTATTGTGTCGACAAAGCACAAAATATAAAAATCAGGTAACAAGGTAAGATGCTAAATCATGGTAGGCCATTATTCTCAGAGTAGTCTATTTACCTATGGAAATGCAATGAACTAGAAAATATAGAAAGTCTAGGGAGAAACATGGGGCCCCATGGTTTTAATGATTTTCTCAGAGGTGTAACTAATTAAAACCATAATTTTGACATTAAATAAAATAAAAATAAGTTAACAAAATGCAATAATTGCATATAAAGCTGGTTACAATACAAAACATTAAAACAGTAATGTGGTTACAGTCTGGTTTTTCTACATTGACTGAAGGTGTAGCTATTTAGTGCTCGCTTCGGCAGCACGTATACTAAAATTAGAATGATACAGAGAAGATTAGCATGGCCCCTGCACAACGGTAATATGAAATTCAGGAAGGGTTCCATATTTTTTTATATTAATGCAAGACTTACTAGGGGTAGAGAAGAAAAGAATACATAGTTGCTAGGGGTCTGGAATGAGATATACCCCTGAGGAGGACAAAAGCCAAAGAAACATAATCTATTTTTCAATATTTTACTTTAATGGTTTCTCAAACATGCTAGAGATGATAGGTCTATTTTAATTTAACAAGTATAAGAACTTAATAAACCTAGGGAGCACGCCTGTAGCATTTGTACCACAGAGAATATAAGACTCTTTGGAGAACATGAGTTGATAAATCAAACTAGCTGAGCCAACATCAGTTTTCTTAATTAAGCCTTTTAAAACGAAACTTGAATTCAGAGAAATAAACTAATAACATAATGACAAGCTCCTCTATCTTTAAAAATGCTGAAACTAAATTTTTAAAACTGTCAGGACTTGTGGTGGGCTTCTTGTGAAAACCTAAAAATACAGGTAATGAGCAGATGGCTTCATCACACCGTATGAGCACAACACTGACTTTCACTGGCAGCCTAGTTGCCATTTTTCTAGAGGAAAACAACAACAACAACAACAAAATCAGAATTTAAAGAGTACATGAAGCAAACCAAATTTGCAAACCTTGCTTGTGAATAAATGAGTAGAACATGATTATTGCAACTGTGAAATATGTTTATCAAAGGTACTTCCTTCTCCCTGAATGCCTGTGGAATTATTTAAACACTTCATTAAATACTGTCTTGAACGGTTAAAAAAATAAATAAAGGTGTAGCTATTTAATTACTTGCACTATATTGTTTGAGAGTCTTTATATAGATTTTTGTTTTAGTAATTTGATTATTTTAGATGAAAGAAGCCAAAAACACAGTTCTGAAGTCTTAAACAATATGGAATACACTGATAAATCTCTTGTGTTCCTGGTGGAATCTAAGGTCAGATTTTGGGATTCAGGAGCAACATTAAGAACTAAAATGAGTGAGGACACTTTGTACATCCTATCTCTCGCTCTCTCTTATTATTATTATTATTTTCTTTTATGTGAGCCTACTGCATATTGTGCCTCTTTCTCTACTCGTCCTCCATCCAACATTTTTACATACTTTAAGGGTTCACTATGTGCAAATCATGGCAGTAAGCTATCTTTACAATTATATAGATCCAGTGGTAACAACAGTGTTGATCAATTTTTTCGGAAAGAGTAGTCTCCGGGTTCAGGGCGGTGTGTCAAATAATGTTAAAGTAGCCTTTAGACCCTAACTTTGTAGAATTGAGAGATTATGCAAATAAAAAATGATTGACAGTATCAGACATATGTAATATTCATGTTTTAAAGTAAACATAGCTTTATTGAGGAATCCAATTCATAAAAGGTCATTAAGTTATTAATAATTTAAAATACATTTATCCACAGAAAAATTTTGTTATTTAGTTATAGGAACTATTCTAATTATGTGGGAGCAACCTATCATGGAACGACATGTGATCCAAAGCATGCTGCAGGAATTGCTCTGGTATGCATTTTATTCCCATCTCTTTAGTAGCTATATAACATTTTGAAAGTCAATATCCACTTCCAGGAATGAAAGTACATATAGTGTATTTACCATACTCTTGACAGATTTCTAACAAATGCATTTTTATAGATTTTGAAACTGAAATGTCATAATTTTTAAAGGATTTTTATTATGGTAAAATACATATAAAATACACTATCTTAACTATGTTTAAGAGTACAGTGCAGTAGTAAGCTTATTTACATAGTTGTGAAACAGATCTCCAGAGCTTTCATCTTACATGACTAAAATTTTGTAGCCTTTGAGCAGCATGACTCCATTTCTCAACCCTTCTAACTGCTGGCAACCACCATTCTATTCTCTGCTACTATGAGTATGACATATTTAGATTCGACATATAAGGGAGATGACCCAATATTTGTCTTTCTCTGTCTAGCTTGTTTCACTTAGCGTAGTACCATCCATGTACATCCATGATTTTTTTCGTTATTTTTATGGCTGAATATATTCCATGTGTTCATGTATGCATGCATGTATGTATATACATATATTTTCCTTATCTATTCATCTGTCAATGGACACTTAGGTTGTTTCCATACCTTGGCTATTGTGAATAATGCTACAATAAACATGGGAATGCAGATATCTCCTTGAGATACCAATGTCAATTATTTTGGTTATGTACCCAGAACTGGGTTAGCTTAATCATATGGCAGTTTTGTTTTTAATATTTTGAGGTACCATCATACTGATTTTCATATTGCTTACACCATATTATAATCCCACCAACAGTTCACATTATATTCATCAAAATATGATCAACACTTGTTGTTTTCTGGTTTTTTTTTTAAAAATAGCAATCATCCTAATTGGTATGAGGTGATATCTTGCTGTGGTTTTGATTTGTGTTTCTGTAATTATTTGTGATATTGTGCATCTTTTCATATGCTTTTTGACTTTTTATATATTACCTCTGAAGAAATGTCTATTCAAATCCTTAGCTCCCCCTTTCTTTCTCATTATTATCATCTTTATTAAATTGTCCATTTTAACATTTTTGTATTCCAGGTTTCCACCTTGCTTAATATATAAACACATCTTTCTTTTAAACGTTGTAAACATTGGAGGGAAAAATAAGGAAAAAACTAAGATGAAATAAGTATAAGCTAGCAGAAATTATAATTTATACAGAAGAACAAAATTGAAAAGGGAAAAAGAGACCAAATATATTTTGTGATGTTTACTTTAGGTTACAAAATATATAATAATAACAAAAACTAATATTTATGCAATGTTTTTTAGATGAGAAAATATTAAGTATAAAATTTGCAACAACATGGATGGACCTGGAGAATATTATGCTAAGTGAAATAAGTCAGACAAAGACAAATACCATATGATCTCATTTATATGTGGAGTCTGAAGAACAGAATAAACAAGCAAACAAAACAGAAACAGACTCAGAGATACTCAGAGAAAAAAATGGTGGTTGCAAAATGGGAGGGGGTTTGGGGGAAGGGAAAAAGGTGACGGGATTAGAAAGTACAAATTGGAAGTCACAAAATAGTCACCGGGATTGAAATACAGTATGGGGAATATAATCAATAATGTAAAGATCATGTAAGATGCCAGATGGGTATTGGACTTATCAGGGGATCACGTCATAGACTGTGTAGATGCCTGACCACTGCACTGTACTCCTGAAGCTGAAGTAGAATAATGTTGAATGTCAACTATAATTATATATATTATATATTATATATTATATATTATATATTATATATTTATTATATATATGGTTATGGTCACAGGATGTAAAGTACAGCATAGGGAATAGAGCCACTGGTATTGTAACAGCTATATATGATGTCAGAGCAGTAGTAGACTTGGGGGAGGTTATCACTTTGTGAGGGGTGTAAATGTCTAATCATTATGCTATTTTATACACCTGAAACTAATATAAAAATAAAATTTTAAAAAGAATTAAAATAGCTAAAAATTTTATACTTAGTCCCTTTTTTAATTGAGCTATTTTATTTCTTGTTGTTAAGTGGTAGGAGCTCTCTATATTATAAATATTAACCCTTTATCAGATATATGATTTGCCAACATTTTCTCCCATTCTGTATGTTGCTTTTATACTCTGTTAACTGTGTCCTTTGAAGCAAAAAAATTTATTGGTGTAATCCCATTCGTCTTTTTTTTTGCTTTTGTTGCCCGTGTTTTTGACATTATATCCAAGAAATCATTGTCAAACTCAATGTCATCAAATTATCCTCTATGTTTTCTTGTATGAGTTTTACAGTTCTGGGTCTTATATTTAGATCGTTAATCCATTTTGAGTTAATTTTTGTGTATGGTGTAATATAAGGATCAAACTTTATTTTTTTCCGTGTGGGTATCCAGTTGTCTCATCACCATTTATTGAAGAGGCTTATCTTTTTCTCTATTGAGTATTTTTGTTGAAAAGATCTTTTCCCCATTTTGTGGTCTTGGTAACCCTTGTCATAGATCATTTGACCATATATGTGAGGGCTAATTTCTAGGCTCTCTATTGTACTCCGATTATCTATCGGCTTGTGTTTAGGCTAGCCCCACCGTTTTGATTCTTTTAACTTTGTACTATGTTTTGAAATCAGTAAATGTGAGTCTTTCAAGTTTGTTCTTCTTTTTTGAAAGTGTTAGGATTATTCAGTGTTCATTGAGATTCCATGTGGATTTGGAGATTTTAAAAATATTTTTATCAACAAATGCTGTTTATATTGTTATAGATATTGCATTGAATCTTCAGATCGCTTTTGGTATTCATGACATCTAAACAATATTATGTCTTCCAATTCATGGATATGGACTTCCTTTCCATTTATTTATGTCTTCTGTAATTTGTTTCAGCAATATTTTGCAGTGTTCAATATACAAGTCTTTTACCTCCTTCTTTAAGTTTATTCCTAAGTATTTCACTCTTTTTCATGATATTTTAAATGGAAGTATTTTCTAAATTTCAGGTTTTTCATTGTAAGTATATAGAAATACAATCAATTGTGTTAATTTTATATCCTGCAATTCATTTATTAGTTCTAAGAGTTTCTTTTATGTGGACTGTTTTGTGTTTTCTGTATCTAGGATCATGTCAACTGTGAACAAAGATAATTTTTATTCTTCCTTTCCAAGATAGAAGTCTTTTATTTATTTTATTGCTTAATTGCTGTGGTTAGGTCTTCCAATAGTATTTTAAATGGATATGGTGAGAGAGAACATCCTGTCTTATTCTTGATCTTAGAGGAAAAACAGTCAAGATTTCACCATTGAGTATCATGTTAGTTGTGAGCTTTTCATACACGTCATTTATTATGTTGAGGTAGTTTTCTCATATTTCCATTTTGTTGAGTGTTGTTTTTCACAAAAATTGTGTTGAATCTTGTGAAATGTATTTTCTTCATTAACTGAGATAATCATGTGAATTTTGCCTTTCATTCTGTTAAAATGGTATATAACATTGATAGATTTTTGTATGTTACATAATCCTTGAATTCCAGGAAAAAAATCCCACTTGGTCATGGTGTATAATCCTTTTAATGTGCTATTGAATTTGGTGTGCTAGTATTTGGTTGAGGATTTTTGTATCAATATTCATTAAGGATGTTGGTTTGTAATTTTTTTCATGTTGAGTGTTTTGGTATCAGGGTAATGCTGACTTCATAGAATGAGTTTGTGAGTGTTTGTCCTTCAATGTTGTGGAAGAGTTTGAGGAAGATTGGTATTAAATCCTCATTAAATGTTTGGTAGAATTTACCAGTAAAACCATTGGGTCCTGTGCTTTATTTGTTGTTGGGAGGTTTTTAATTACTACTTTAATCTCCTTACTATTGGGTTGTCGGAAAAGTCATGACGTATTTTGTCTATGTTTTTCAAACGTCATTTATTTATATAAAGAACAAAGATCAATCAATGACACATTGCCCATTTTGTTGGATAACCTTTTGCCATCTTTCAGTGAGCTTCATAACTCCTCGTTCATAGAAGAACCTGTCTTTATTTGTGAAAAACTGAACAAGGTGCTCACTTACAGCCTCATCTGAATTGAACATTATACCACGCAAGGAGTTGTGAAGAGAGCCTGACAAGTGGAAGTCTGATGGTGCAAGGTCAGGTAAGTATGGTAGGTGTGGCAACACATCCCATCCAAGCTCCAGTAATTTTTGACGGGTGATCCAACTTGTGTGTGATCTCGCATTGTTGAGATGGAACACAATTCCTTTACAATTAACAAGCTCTGAACGTTTCTGGATGATGTGTTCATTCAAACTGTTCAACTGCCGACAGTACACATTCAAATTGATTGTTTGGTTCCTTGGTAGGAGCTTGAAAAACACTACACCTTTAAAATCCCACCACACTGAGAGAATAACCTTCCTCTGATGAATGTCTGCTTTCGATGTCGTTTGAGGCAAATCATCACTTTGGGACCAAGATGGTTTGCACACCACATTGTTGTAAACAATCCACTTCTCATCACCAGTTATCAGTTGCTTCAAAAAAGGATCGTTTTTCTCATGTTTAATGAGCGTATTGCAGATGTTTATACGCGCCATCAAATGAACTTCTTTGAGTTGATGCAGAACCCAAATATTGAGCTTGCTTATGTATCCCAGCTTCTTCAGGAGGTCGTGAACACTTGAATGATGGATGTTCAATGTTTTAGCAATCTCTCATGTCATGTAATGTGGGTTTGACTTGAGCAATGGCTTTATTTTGTTATCATCAACCTCGGGGGGTGGTTCTGAACGAGAAGCATCATTGAGATCAAAATCACCAGCACAGAATTTCGTGAACCACCGTTGGCACTGACGTCCTTGTAGAGCATTGTCACCATAAACTTTATGCAACTTTTCACAAGCTTGATGCACCTTCTTCCCTTTATGGAAGTAAAACAGTAAAATATGGTAAAAATGCACAGTTTGGTCTTCCATCTTCAACTTGTTGCAAAATCTCCAAAACTCAACCAAATCAGTCACTTTTTTTTTAGAATGAAGCTAGAACTGTCAGCTGTCAAATGACATAGCAATAACATAGATGTGAATGACTCTAGTACTTCCAAAATGAACTAGTGCCATATGTTGCAAACATGCATCATGACTTTTCTGATGACCCAATAGTAATTGATCTGTTCATCTTTTATGTTTCTTCATGATTAAGTCTTGATAAGTTTTGTGTATCTGGCAGTTTATCATTTTCTTCTACCTTATTGATAACCTGAATGTAGTAAGGTATTGAATTTTGGTCTCAAATGTAGTGAATACAGTCATGCACCACAATATGTCATTGAGGTCAGCTAATGACTGCCTATATGATGGCGGTCCCATAAGATTATAATGGAGTTGAAAAATTACCATAATCTAGTAAGGTTGTATGCATTGTAATATCACAGCACAAGACATTACTCATGTGTTTGTGGTGATGCTGATATAAACAAACCTACTGCACTGTCAGTCGCATGAAGTATAGCAATACAGTACATAAATCATGATAATAAAAATAAACACCCATGTTATTGGTTTCTGTATTTACTGTATTATACTTTTTATTATTTTAGAGGATGTACTCTTTCTACTTATAAAAATAAGTTTGCTGTAAAACATTATGCTGTGTTACACTACCAGAGCAGCCTTATACATCTTGTGTTTACTGCTCTCTTAATTATAACATTTTCTTTATTGCTTAATTTAAGATAAAAGAAATGCTACTTGCCTTTAGAAAAAAATTAATTTGACTTTTTCTCCTAAAAATACTTCTGAAATAAAAACTTTCAATTCAACTCTTAAGAGTTTGTGTATTTTTTCCAAGTTTTCCCTGCAAAATTATATGGTTACTGAAACAATGCTTATTCTTCTCAAAAAAAATTTTAGGTTTATTAGAATTTAAATTAGTAACATAATAAAGACATAATAGCATTAATTTTATTTTGTTACAGATCAGTGCCATTTGGATTAAAAATACTGTTTCTCAAAAAACATAAAATTTAATCATTTTTTGTTTTCCTTGTTTCTAAGAAGATAATGAACTTTGGTGTACTCGTTTCTTAACTTTGTATTTGCATTTAGGTAACATGCCCACAAGTTATTGAAAAGATCAAAGAAGTGAAGGAATAACTTAGGCAGCAATTTTTTTTCTTTTGTGTTTAGTATCCAAAGAGGATAACTTTAGAGGCATTTTCAGTTGTTCTGGCACAGTTGCTTGGAATTAATCTTGGATTAACATATGATGACATCTATAATTGTTATTGTCCAGGAACTACATGCATTATGAATCCTCAAGCAATGTAAGGTGTTATTTTTATCAAATCTATATTTTATCTTGGGAAATGTTTGTAATAGTCCCTGATGTATAATATTTTACAATATAATTTGAATAAGACTATTTTTATTAAATACATATGTGTTTATTTGGTGCTTATTAAAGAAAATGAGTATTTGACATTGTAAAAAATGTTATTAGTAGTTTTATATTTAATGTTGTAGTATACAGAGAAAGTGGATGTTGATAATGACTTTTTGGGGTTTACTGCAGTGTGTGGTGAGACTCATTTGTTCATTCTAAAAATATGTAATAAGCATTTACTCTGTCATGGGATTGTGTTTTCTTACCAATGGTTAACAAGATATATAAGTCTTAAATATCTTATATTAGTTTTCAGGGACAGAGAATTTAAAAGTGGTCATAAGAATAAACAAAATATAAACAGCTTATGATAGTTGCCAAGAAGGAAATAAATAGGGAATACATGCAGAGAGGAAACATTCTAACAAAATGGTCTAAGAAAGTTTCTAAAAAAATAATTATGTGGGACTTGAAAGAGAAGGAATGAATCTGGTCTAGTAAAGAACTTGTTGAAAACTTTTGTTGGTAAGCAAATGAGTGATACTTGGATCACAAGAAGCTTGAGAAGCTCAACAGATTGGTGGAATAAGGAGTTTGGAATGGGGGTTAAAAATGAAAAGAGGGAAGAAACAGCTGGGATTATAAGAAAGAATATATAAAGCATAAGGGAAAGAAAGTAAAATACAATAAGGCTAAAGAACAATGAATCAGGGGAAGTCCAGGAGGTAACATGGGATATGTAAGATAGAGCCTGATCATGTAATCATGATGCAAGATTTGGGATTTTATTATCAATGTAACAAAACACATTTTAAATTCATTTATGCAGTATGGATAATAGAATTATCTTAAAATAAATGTAAATGATATCAGAGGGATCAACAATATAGCAACATTTGGGAGATGAATCTCAGAATAATTACAGAAGTTTATTAAAATTGAGAAAGGGAAATGTCAAGAATTATTTGTAGGTTTTTGGATATCATAACTTATTTTTTAAATAACATTAACAGATATTGAAACAGGCAAATAATTTAAGAAAGGAGAAAAATGGGGGTAAATCTTGAGGAAATGTTTATGTTACATTGGGGGTCTAAGTCATCATCTGTTATTAAGTGCACAGTTACAGATGCACACATGGTCTGACAAGTTCGTGGACTTGTTGCAACGCTGTTGCTAACCTTTTTTTTTAATAACAGAGGGATTATTCATTATGAATTTGTACCAACTGGACAAACATTTAAACAACTTTACTATTTGGAAAAAAGCTGAGTGAAAAAGTTAGATGACCTGAACATTTTGCCAATTCATGGCTCTTGAATCACAATGCACCAGCTCTCATGGCACTGTCTGTGAGGGAATTTTTAGCCAGTAAACAAATAACTGTATTGGAACACCCTCCCTACTCACCTTATCTGGCCCCCAATGACTTCTTTCTTTACCTGAAGATAAAGGAAATATTGAAAGGAAGACATTTGTATGACATTCAGGACATCAAGAATAATATGACAACATCTCTAATGGCCATTCTAGAAAAAGAGTTCCAAAATTGCTTTGAAGGGTGGACTAGGCACTGGCATCAGTGCATAGCTTCCCAAGGGGAGTACTTCAAAGGTGACTGTAGTGATATTCAACAATGAGGTATTATAGCACTTTTTCTAGAATGAGTTCGTGAACTTAGTTGTCTCACCTTGTAGGGTAGGCTCTCAGAGGACAATGTATCTAGAATGTGTGAGCTATCAGCATATTGATGAGAATTACAATCATGAACAGCTCATTTAGAAAAAAGTTAAAAAGAGTGAATAGGGGTGCCTTAAGTTGTAGCTTTGCATACTTCTCATATTTACAGGTTAATTGAGGAAAAAGCAGTGACATGGAAGAGTGGGAACAGGAAGGAAGAAAATATTGGGATAACAACGAAGACAGGATGGAGTCTTAGCTAGGGTGGACTGTGTTTTAAGAATAAGGGAAATGGAAAGAGAATTGACTTTGGGTAGATAACACACAATGGGATATATAGATGATATGTTATAGAATTGTACACTTGAAACCTATATAATTTTACTAACCAATATCACTCCAATAAATTTAATAAAAATTTTTTTTGAAGAATAAGAGAGAGGATAGAAGTCAAATGGTAAAATGTCAGCATGGTATTTTAGTCTTCCCCAATTCACTAACAAAATAGAGAGTAAAAATTGGAATACAAAAAAAAAGAGCAAAAGCATATTCTACATTTCTAAAACTGGAATGCACCAAAGATACCAGCAGGTGGGGCCAATACATTGACAAAATAATACCTGCATGCAGTAAGTAGCTGTGTAGAAGGAACACGAGACCTCTAAAAATCTTACAGACCTCGGAGCTCAAAAATCGTTCACTAATTTACTCGCCACAAAGTTATCCCCACTGAGACTGAAATATCAGTTAGCTCATGCCATTACAGGAGCCAAAATTGGTGGGGATATTGCAAATTGCAGGTGTGAGCAAAGGGACTGACCATTTCTTAAGATGCTGGTTTGGCTTTGGCCTCTGTTCTTTAAAAATCTAATAACAATGAGAACACATAACGCCCAGATAATATTTTTAAAATACTATTTTCCACTAAAAGGAGCTGAGTCACCTTGGAGAAATAATTGATTCCAGGGCTAAGGCAGAGAAAATATAAATGAGCCTGGAACATCTTGTGTCAGAACATAAGATGGTGTTCGAAGAATGATGGCTAATTGTCAAAGGGACACAAGAACCAGGGCTATAACCAAATATGTGACAATTTGAATGTCAATAATAATAATGATAGTGATATATTATAACCCATTTATTATAATAGGAAAATATAATTCCAAATTCATATAAATACATGAGTGAATAAATTGGAAAGATAGAAATGGAATATTTATGTAAAACCAAAATATTTCTCTCCAAATAATTATTAACTGATAAGGAAAAAAGTAGTTTTAGAGTGAACACTGGCAGATATACCTTTAATCAGCTGATCAGACTGACTTTTATTAGTAATATAACAAATTGAAATTATGTGCCAATAGTTACAAGGAAGTGAAATAAACTCAGCAACACTCTTGTGATGATGTTGCCAAGCAAAATGTATAACCTCATTCTAATTATGAGGAAACATTTCACAAACCAAAATTGAGGGACATTTAACCAAATAATCAGCCTGTAATCATAAAACTTTTGAGGTCATGAAATCCAACAAAAAACATAAGTAACTAAACTAAGGAGACATGAGAACTAAATGCAATGGTTGATTCTGAGCTGTTTGAGGTCTGACAGTTAAGTTTGCAAACTTGCCACCGTGCGCTTTCATTGGCAGCATTGTACAAACAGCACAGTAAGGTTTCATAACTTTGGTATATCAGTGTCTCACAGCTGTGTTTGTGTGGACATGTGGCGTGTCTTGCTGAGTGCCATTCATTATTGTTGTTGCATGTTTTTGTGTGCCATCATGAGAATGTCTGAACTTGAATTAGAGCAATGAACAAACATTAAATTTCTTGTTAAACTTGGCGAGCATGGAAGTGAAATCAGGGACATGTTAGTCCAAGTATATGGGGATAAGACCATGAAGAAAATGGCAGTGTACAAATGGATTAAATGTTTTTCTGAGAGGAGAGAATGAGTCACTGATGAAGAGAGATCAGGGCAGTTAGTAACGAGCAGAATTGATGAAAACGTTGCACAAAATTTGTTGAATTGTGTGTCAAAATCATTGGCTGACTGTGAAAAGCATAGCAGACCAAGTAAACATCGAAAGAGAAACAAAAAATTCTTAAATGAAAATCTTGGCATGAGAAAGGTGTGTGCAAAAAATGGTCCCGAAGGAACTAACCAATGAACAAAAGCAAAGGAGAGTCAAAGTTTGCCAAGATGTTTTACAGAGGGAAGAGGATATTTTGGGCCATGTTATCCCTGGTGATGAAATATGGGTGTACCAATAGGACCATGAAACAAAGCATTAAATTGCACAGTGGAAGTCAGCCAATTCTCTATAACCAAAAAAGTTCCATCAGTCCAAATCAAGAGTGAAAACAATGTTGCTAACCATTTTTGATATCAGAGAGATTATTCATTATGAACTTGTAACCAACTGGAAAAACAGTTAACCAACTTGACTATTTGGAAGTGCTGAAAAGGCTGCATGAAAAACTTAAATGACTTGAGCTTTTTGCCAACAATTCATGGCTCTTGTATCACGACAATGCACCAACTCACACGACACTGTCTATGAGGGAGTTTTTAGCTGGTAAACAAATAACTGTATGGGAACACTCTCCTTATTCACCTGATCTGGCCCCCAATGACTTCTTTCTTTACCCAAACATAAAGGAAATGTTGAAAGGAAGACATTTTCATGACATTCAGGACATCAAGGGTAATACAATGATAGCTCTGATGGCCATTGCAGAAAGAGAGTTCCAAAATTGCTTTTAAGGGTGGACTAGGTGCTGGCATCAGTGCATAGCTTCCCAAGGGGAGTACTTCGAAGGTGACCATAGTGCTATTCAGCAATGAGGTATGTAGCACTTTTTCTAGGATGAGTTCTCAAACTTAATTGTCAGACCTCATATCCTTTTATGATAAAGTGGCAATATTGTGATGAAGGGGAATTCTGAATGAAATCTGAGAATTAGGTGTTAGTAATGTGTCATTATTTCCTAGTTATATAATATTTGTTTTAGGAAAATTCATTTCTATATAAGAATTATACAATAAAATATTTAGTGTTATCAAAACAACCTTTGGAAACTTGCTATTAACTGGTTCAGGAAACAAAATTTATTCCTTGGACTATATTTGTATTATTCCTCTAAGTTTGAGATTGTTACAAACTGAAACAAAAATTCATTGAACAGTACACTTAGAGGCATAGAAATTTAAAAACAAAAAATCTAAGGGTAATAAATTTTATATACTTAATGTTGAGACATTTTAATTGGTTAATTTTGTTACCAAAGAACAAATATTCCTGATTTTTCATTAAAACAATCACTATCATTTATTCTTTCAGTTTTCCATATAAATTTCCTAGTATATTTCATATTCTTAATGATAATTAGTGCTTCTTATAATAATTATTATAATTATGATTTGACAATAATAATGAAAATAATAAGACACACTTAAATAGAGCTTTTTGTATGCCAAGCACTGTTGTGTTTTAATATATTCTAACTCATTTCACCTAAACTTCTTCTACTTGCTAGATGTCTATTATATGAAATTACAGTAGAAATAAACTCATTGCTTTTATTTATGGCATATTAAAAATGAAACACTCTCCCCTCCTTCTGGCTTTTCTGTACTAAAGTTGTACAGAATTAATAGTACTATACTGAAGAGTGTTACTTTGAAAATAATTGTATTCCGTTTATCTGATGAATATAATTTAATTTTAGACGTTCCCATGGTGTAAAGTTTTTTAGCACTTGCAGCGTGGATGAATTTAAAGGCATAGTTTCACAGCCTGAATTTGAATGTCTTCAGAATCAAACAATTTCAGAAATGATCACCGGAAGAAAAACGTCAGTTTGTGGGAATGGAATTCTGGAACCAGAAGAGGAATGTGATTGTGGCCCTCCAGGGGTTAGTGACAAACATTAATAGCTTATCTAAATATTTGTTTTTGTGTTTCTCATATAGTATTATAAATATAGATATGACACCAAAGGGGAGAGCTTTGTTTTCAAATGCTGCACCATTTTATCAAATATCTAAGATATGGAGATATGGAGCATGTAGTATCTGACTCATCCTAAATGTAAAGCATTTTAAGAGTTTAAGTATAGAGTAAATACAGCATGGATTCAATAAGATTGTCTTCATTGTGTAACCATCAATAGCAACACCCACCTTTCTGTATCATAAATATCAGTACCATCAATAATATAATCATCATCTGAATCATCTCCTGAATTTCTCCCAAGTGACTTCATTGGTTTTTTAAGTTATAAAATGTGTGTTGTTGTTTATCTCTTCAACTCCTAATTTCAGTCTTTGCATCTGGGGGAACTTCATTTATTTTAACTTGGTTTCACAGAATTGGATTAATCATAATCCTTGGTTTGTTGTTGTTATATTTAGCTTTTTTTTATTATCTCTTTTTTCTTTCAGCTGTGCTTGGTAAGAATTAATTATTGAATTTTGTTGTGTCTGCCTGCATGGTTGCATGGTGATTTTTTTTTAATCTATGTTTTCTAGAGAATGTGAAAGCCCTCTAATTATTAGGAATAAAATTCTGTATAGCTTTATGTTATCATAATTATAAGTGAATAACTCAAATCTTCTGTATTTTTACTAATTTTGATTGCCTGACCTCTCAACACTTGAGAAGTAATATTGATACCTTCAACTATGCATTGGATTTGCCTGTCTCACTATAATTTACTCAATTCTTTTTTAATAATATTTTAAGCTGTTTTATATGGTGCAAACTTATTTACAATTGTTATATCTTCCT